CTCTCACAAACACACTCTCTTTCTATGTCTTTATCTTTCCATTTCTCTCTCCCTCTCTCTCTTTCTCCTTCTCTTCACAAACAATATTGTTCAGTTATCTCTCTTTTTACATCTCTCTTAATCTTTTAAAAATTATCGCGTTTCTAAATTTAAGTGACTTATATTTTATAAGAGTCGATGCGAAAACTATCTTAAAAGGAATATTGAATAGGCCTACTTTCCATTAGAACAGGGTCGCAAAGGTTGAATAGGCATGGTTCGACGGTTTATACATACTGTACGAATAAAGGAGCATGAATAAGCTTTTATAAAAATAGTTCACCTGAAAAAAGTAACCTAATTATTATCCATAAAAGGAAGAAAACATAAAGTTTATACTTAAAAAAAAAAAGAGTACTTTTTTTTATTTTACATCAAAGAAGAAAGGAGGAAAGAGGCAGGAAAAATATGAGCAATATAGATATAAATATTATCATTTGTTGTGGACTGCTAAGTGTCTAGTTTAGTTCAGTTTGATTGAAAAATAATCTCATTACCTTTCCACATGATCAACAAGTGTAAAAGCATTTTTAGACTATATCTTAAATTAAGGGGAGAAAAAAAACTAATAAAATATAGAGTAGGAATTAAAAAGAAAGAGATAGAACGAAGGAAAAAGTTAACCTAATTAATTCACCTGTAATTTTTGATAAACATCCGTTTCCAAATCTGAAAAAGATTGCCTCATTTTGGTTGTTTCGTTGCTTTTTCTAGTTGGTGTGTATATAGGCGTGTATACGTTATTTTGTCTCAATAAATATATCGGTCTGGTGTTTCTCTCAGTGTAACTTATTAGTATCTCATATTAATTTCCTGTGATCTTAGCTAAAACATCAGACAACCAGACTTGCCGAAGGCTGTTGGCTTTTTTCTGCAAAAGAAACAAGAGAAAAGAAGATAAGTAGAATGCAAGACAAGGAATTACTGATGGGAGGATAGATGACGTTTTATAAGTAACCGTCTTCAGTTTGGTAGAAACGTCTTATTCAATGGATCATCTACAATCACCTGTCAATCTAATCTGCTGCTTAAGTTTCTTGCAGACGTCGGAAGATTGACGACAGATTACTCGACCTGATTATTCTAAATGCTAATAATCCAACACCCTCATTCGTGGCTAGAGGAAGTAGTACTTCATTAAAAACGCAACGCTTTGCCAATCGATATCAGATTACTTCGAATTGTCCGCTTCTTCACAAATTGAAATTGAACGCTTTATCGATAGATTTTCAAAGCTATTTAATATATTTTCTCCAAAGATCATCCCCCTTTGGCGGTAAAGGTATAAGTTAAGCAATTAGTATAATTAAAATTGTTTTATGTTAACAAATACTGATCTAATGAAAGATCATAACAACTCATTAACGGACGTTTTAACCAGATGCCATTCGGGTATTCTATAATTAACAACCTTACAGCTAGCTAATCTCCTTCTTGTAGGATGTCAACTTTCTATTTAAAATTCAGCTCTCTTGCGATTTGTTCGCACCTTACTCCTTAATTAGGAAAAGAAGCCGGTTAATTCTTTATTTATAACACCTCTATACTATTACGTAATAACTTTTTATAACCAAGGCCAAGCTAATCGGATCTATGATTTGAAAAGGCAGGAAGATCTCGGGCTGTATTTAAGTCTAATGAGCATAGAGTTTTATCTCTGAAAGTTACCCTTCACACTACAATTATTTGATAGTTATGACCTAATTGTAAGATACCGTAAAGCTTTCTTCTCTATTTTCTTATATTAATCGATAAATAATAAAAGTCTCTACAATAAACCAGCATGAATTTAGTTTAATTATATTGTTTTTATTAATTGTTCGTAAACAAACTTGTTATTAATTAATTTATTCTTCTTAAGTAAGATTAGTAATCTATTTGAAGGATAATTAAACTTTTTTTTATTGAAGATAATAAAAAGTGAAATCCTCTAAGCCTATATGGAACAATATATTCATTACATATATATATATATATATATATATATATTTCTCTTGTACATTTTATTAAATTTAACAATTATCTTGACGTAATTTTTCAATCATATTAAATCTGCCTTAACCTACGTTTAATAGTTATAAATCTATTGATATCGATAGATAATAAGAGCGACAAGGAGAAAAAATTCCCTATCTCTCTCTTCCATCCTCTCTCTCTCTCTCTCTCTCTCTGTCTTTCTTTCTTTTAACATTGATAATAAAAGATACTTATAAAAATGAATAATAATTAATCTCTTTTCTTTCTATTTATGATAAAATTGCCCTTTTTATCTTTTTTTCTTTACTTGAAACTTTAGAATAAAGTTATTACAATTGATCAACTAACTATCGAATTTCAAACACTAAAATTATCCTAGAAACGGAATTCGATAAGGAAAAGCTTCTAGGCCTACAAAACAAAACATTTATTCTCTTTCTTTTTTTTTCTAGTCTATCTTTCTCACTCACTCTCTGTCTCACTCTCTGTCTCTGTCTCTCTCTCTCTCTCTCTCTCTCTCTCTCTCTTTCTCTTTCATTCTATCTATCCACATACTTCATTTATATTGCTTTTAAAAAAAAGAAGAGTAAAATCAATCTACTTTATTAAAATCTGTTTAAAACTTCTTCGGCTTCGTCCTCCTACACTTTAGAACATAAAAAAACGCCTATATTCTTTCTCGTTTCGCTCTTCATACATATTTTATTCTATCAAGGGGAAAGAGAGACAGTCTGATAGACAGACGGATATAGATGAAAGAAAGAGAGGGGAGGAAAAGAGAGCCAGGAGGGAGGGAGATGGTGAGGCGGGGTTGATAAGTTATGGAGTAATATTAAAAAAACTTACGAAAGTCAATGAAATATTCTGTGTGAATAGAATTGCGTCTAATAGAAAGCAGCAGACTATTAAGCAGTAAGTGAGAAGATACCGATATTCTGTTCCAGAGAATCCATATAAACTACATGCTTAATCAAAAACAACGCTTCACCCGGAAATGCACAACGTACAGTGTAAAAACTAATCTTAAATGATTGCAGTTGAGAATATAAGAAGCAAACCGAGATGATTGTAAGTCCAGACGAATAAAGCTTTTGTGTTTACCAGAGTCTTAACCTCTCTTCTGTCTAATAATTAATATTTAATTTCCCCCACAAGGGAAAAGACAAAGGTGTGTAATCATTATTAAGAAGTTATGGATTCAATTTTGCTCTTCCTGTTTAACCAATATAATCCTCTTTTAATTAAGGACAGAATTGTGTGTTTCTATTATGATCTTATTAATCCTAATCTTTTTTTACCTTCGATATAGTTTACTTATTATGAATCATAAAGGTGAGAAAGTGTAAAAAAGGGTGTTTAATAAGAAGAGATAGGCTTAGTTCACTCTTAAGTGCCTAGATGCGTCTTTGCACTCAGCTGTTATCTTTTTTTTACTCATACATAACAAGAGGTGAACTAATATGAAAAGATCATTTTCCCCGATTTTGGCTAAAGATTATTGTCGCCTGTAAATAATTACCGACCGTCTCTTATTTATTTAGGCCTAATTACTATGTCAGAATTCGATTACTTCCGTTCGTTTCTATTGTTGTATGATAAAATCGATATCTAATCATATTTGTTTTTAAATTCTTTTTGTCCAATGTTTATTTTTTTATATTGTAAATGTTTAATTCAATTTCTTTTTTTTTTTGCTTTTGTTTTTTCTTTTTTTTTAAAAAAAAAGGAAAAAAAACAATTAATACAAATATCTTTTTCTCTATGATTTATCGACTGTTAGTAATAACCTTTTATAAAGGAGAACTATAGGAAAACTGAGAATTTTTTTTTCTTCTATTTTTTCCCTTTATTTCTACCATCTAGAATTGCTTATTTTCTTAAAATAGTGTTATACACCTGTATAATAATTGTATATCAGGTTGATTTTAGACGTGTTTCTTTATAAAACAGAGAAAAGGAATAAGAACAAATTAGGGAATAGAATTTTGCTACTTAACGATCTATTTACGGATGATTTTTATATTTAAAAGCAAAAATAACGCATTCCCTTTCCAGGGAATCCTATCCGTCTCTTCCGTTAGGAAATGGGAACAAGTTTGAAAAAACCCCTATTATTATCATTTTGTATACTTTGTATTGTAACATAAATGCTTTATTTTTACTTATGTAATTTAAACTTTATAGATAAACATCAATTACGTAATCATTTTAATAAAACTATGGTTTTTCTTCTCTATAGAGAATAGACTATATACACAAAAAGTATATAATATAATATTTATATATTTATATAGAAACATACAGCGCAGTATGTGAAAAGTATACAAGTATCTAACTGTCTATCTGTCTGTCTGTCTATCTTGAGGCATCTAAAGACCTGAGAAAATAACTTTCCAATGAAAATAATTAGAATTGAGGTCTCGTACTAAAAATCGTTTGATCATTTACTTAATTATAGAGGAATCAGTTAATGTGACTTGGCAACGACTAACGACATCTGTTGATGTAATTTTGATTGGTAATGAATTTGATGATTTTCATGAAATATTTAATGGACGAATAATGGGACAAGATTAAACGTATTGTTATATAATATTCAATACCAATTTCATTGATTAAATCAAAGTATTCTCTTTCATTACCTGTACAGATAACTTTTTAACCTTTAAATGAATTTTACTTAATTAGCCAACAACTGAAATATTTAAATCAATTAAGTGATTAAATAAATTAAAATAACTTCAATCTCAAGAGGGAATGTGTGTGTGTGTGTGTGTGTGTGTGTGTGTGAGTGAAAGTGAAAGAGAGAGAGAGGGGGGGGGGAAGGCCAAGAGAGGAAAGGAATAAGAAAATTCATTTCTTTAAGAAAGATGGGAATAGTTGAAGTAAAAGAAAATAAACAATTAAAGGAATGATTGGGAAAATTCTTATTTCACGCATTTCCTTAACTTGCAGCTTAATTTAGCTAATTAACAATGAAATTTAGTTAATTAACACCCACTTTATTTCGAAATAATCGATATCTTATTCGATAGAAAGTTTTTTCAATAAATAATACAATAACAGATATAGTTAATCCAATTGAGAAAAGATAAAGTACACCAATTATTTCATGGAAATGAACTGCTTCTCTTATCCTTTCTTGACTCTCACAATTCGCTGGCTCCGTTAAATTTAAATCGGTTTTCCATTTTTCAACATATCCCCCTTCAATGACTACTTCTTGTAGTGCATTGTTAAATGTCTCTAAATAAGGCCAATGTTTTTGAACGGGGAATGCAATACTACGCGAATGAAAGTCATTTTCAACTGGAGTAGTTACATAATCACAATCCATATGGGAAACTAAGTTCATTACCGATCTTTCATTAACAAAGCCTGTATTCTGATTTTTGGCTCTTTCAAGTCCATCTTTCAAGCTGTAAACTATGCTATAAGGAAGATCTTTTTCAATCTTTTCCCAAGCTTTTCGAAATACTCCAGTCTTTGCAGTCTTAAATAAGAATTCATGAGCCGAACTACCAAGAATTACTAGACGGAATTCACTATTTGTAACCGCGTCTTCTAGCGTTTCCACAGGTAATTTTGCCTTCCTAACGCTATTAAGTAATAAATAACAAGGGGAAGCTTTATTTTTCAATATTGCTGACGAAAGAAAATATAAAAACCTCAAAAATGCGATAAGATTTCCAGTATAGATGGCAATAACTACTACTGTTGTTATCCATACAAATGCAACAAGAATTCTAACTGATGAATTTTTTGAGTTTGGTAACACGCTTCCCTGATTTAGGCTAGCGCAAATAGCATACCACAGGGACAATCTAAACACACTATATTCAGAGTAAACCCTCATATTATTTTCATGAACATCCAATTTCGTGTATAAATATATGAAAGCGAACGCCAGGATTACAAAAGCTAAATAGGAATACCATACTTCCGGTTTTAAAGGTTTAGTAATAAAGAAGGATGAAAGAACTTTATGATCGGGTCTTTTCATGATTATTGCAAGAGTTTCACTGCCAACAGCCGTCATGAAATCGACTGCCTCCAGACGCTGTTCAAGAACGTTATAGGGTCCAATAGCTAGATCAGCTTTCTGTTAATAAATTGTTATCATTTGAAAATAGCATTAAATCCAAATTGACATATTCAGACGATCTATTTCTGATCATATTTCAATTTGTTTCTAAATAAAGCCTCTTTAAGTAAATTGAAGATTAATTGGACTGATTCCTAGTTCTCATAGTGTATGTTTAATTAATTATAGGGACAAAGCTGGCATTTTTCCTTCAAAGAAACAACGAACAATAGATGATGTTTTTCAAGAAAGGAAACACTAGAAACCGTAAAAACAGAGGAAAAGTATAGAATTATTGGTAAAATCTCACATTATTACTGTCCTAGTAAACTTGATTGCTCTAAATAATTTGCAAACCTTATTGTCTAGCATTCCAATAGCTCCATTCCAAGATCCATTCTCTATTATACCAAATTGTAAATTATCTGGTTCTAGTAATTTATATCTGTGAAAGGTGAAGGAAATATGAATAAATTAACATAATTATGAATATACAATGAATATACAATAAATAAAATACCTAAATTTTAACTTTTCCGCTAACAAATCCAATATTTTCACAAAGAGTCCAACATAAAAGACTTGATCTTTTATTTTTGTCTTCTTCATTTGTATAAAATCCACCTAATTTAAATAATTATTAACCAATTAATGAAGTAGATCATAGAGACACGTATATTTTTTTATTATAGTTATTAATATTTAAAGCAAACTTATACGAACAGGTACAATAGCAACAAAAAATTGATAATCTTCAAAGTTTGGATACTTTTGAAAAATATGCTTTTGAAGGTTAATCTATTAAAAAATATGAAATAATTAAGAATATGGAAAAGATCTATAGTTGAAAAAAAAGAGTGTACTTTTCCATTTGAAAAATGTCCAATATTTTCAACAGTTGAATTAGACCATTTATATATTAAAACATTTGAAGATTTCAATAAATCATTATGAAATAGTATAACACTGTCTGAATGTGTTAAATAATTTCCAATATCAGTTTCAATTGAAAAAGTTGTAGGTAAGATAATAATCCATTTAAACAAGGGTCTGAAAAGTCCTTGTTTTCTTCCCTATTCAGAAAATATTACACTTGTTTTTATTATTGAACTTTGGATATTTATTAACAGAATGAAAAGAAACTTTTTTCAAGAGACCTCTTTAATAATAGATTCCATTAGGGATACGTTCGTCCATACTAAAAATAAATATTCATCGGGCATTGACTCCCAATCTTTATTCCAGTAACCTTCATTGGCGAATTCAACATATTTACCTAAACTATTAATTCTTGATACAATACAATCGGGAAATTGATAATTCTCATGGAAAATTACAACATATCGAACATCTAGACTGTTCAATGTTTGATATAGTGTTGAAATTATCCCATAATGACTATGATTGCAATAATGATTGGTACTCAAATATAAACTTTCAATAAATATTCCTATAAAAAAGTTTCATTTACTTTTCATTCATAATTTCTTTATTAAAGAAAAACTTACTGCATTCGAATATAAAACAGATAATTATCTGTTTTAATTGCATTGTTGATACTTTCTACTTTTCTTTCTTTTCTTCTGCAAAAGTATACTTTTCAAAATTTTGCAGCCATTTTCACAATTCTGTATTATTACTTTTATTAATTTCTTCTATTTATGAATAACTTTATCTTTATTTTCACTTTGTAGAATTTCGACTATGTCAGGATTTCAAGACAAGTTTTCAAATGGCAAAAGAAGTGACACGAGTAATGATATTGATTAGACTTGAAAGGTCAAGTGACTTTGTAATAATTACGTCAGGACGACACGTGAATCTCACGTGGATATATAAAGTAACAATCCATTAAGTGACATTACCAAACGAGCTGTACAGGCACGTTTAATTGTACGGCATAAACATGCTTTTGTTAGGTTACTTAAGATAAAATAGAAAAAATGTATATTTTCGTCCAGTAATAAGGATTATATTTATAAAATAAAAAAAATGCTAATTTTAAACTGTGCACACCTATGATTGTACTTTTCCTTTGTTTACATTGGAAAAAAACAACTTGGCTTGGGTATTTTCAAAACATAACACTTTTGACAAGATTATGTGATAGATGGCGTAACTTGTACGGGATATGACGACGACTAGTTTGGAAGTAATATGGCGGAATAATAATAGCACGTTTCTTAGACGTCCGATTTTTTTTTTTAAATAAGACAATCCCAATGATTAAATAAATGATTAAATATAGCAATTAATTAAATGAATAAAGTAAGAAGATATATATTAGATGTTACTTAATTAATTAATTAATTTTTTATATTTATTCATACTTTTCTCTTTGTAGACTAAAGATAATAATCTGGGAATAGAAGATTTATACAGTCTATTAAATCTTAATGAAAATGCTTCGCAAGAAGATATTAAAAGAAATTTTAGAACGTTATCTCTAAAATATCATCCAGATAAGACAAATCAACTTGAAGAAAATGAAGAAACAATAAGAAGAAATACCGAAATATTTAAAAAACTTAATTCAGCTTACAGGATATTGAACAGTATTGAAAAGAGGAATATATATGACTCTTATTTATTTCAAGTAAAAAATATTAATCCTTTATCAGTCTACGCAAACTATAATATAAGAGAATTTGTAAAAAATGAAAGAGAAGAAGATATTTTGGAACATTCTTGCGTTTGTGGAGGCGTTTATCAAATAACAAGTGACCTTATTAGCTATCAAGTGAAATATTTGGAATGTATACAATGTTCGTTCGTTATAGGTGTAACATACGATAATTTAAATAGGTAAAAGAGAAAAGAATATTCCATTTTTTTTTGTTTAATCAACTGTTGTCATCGAGTAGTGAGTCATAAAAGAGACCCAAACGTGTAATATAAAAACGAGTATAGAGAACTTTAACAACACAAGTTCTATGTGACTAACGAACCAGTCAGAATAAAGCTATGTTATAAACAATATGATGAAAAAAAAAATCATTATATTGTATATATATATAATTTTTTACATGTTGCATATTAGACACCACGAGAAGAAACAATACAATCCTCTTTTCACCCTTTTTCTTTATATTTTGTGACTTTTGATTCGAGATTTCTCTCTTTTTCTTTTAAAATAGAGGAGGATAAAGGATATATTCAAAAAAGGAAAAAAAAGCATATTTATAAATAAAATAGAAAAAAAGAAGAAATTTAACTCAACATCGCTGTCATACTTGGAAATTAGTTGTCTGTCTCAGTTGGCTAAATAAATTTTTTCCCCTTTTTTGTTGTCTTTTCAAAAAAAAACATAATTCGAATAAAAATATTTTAAGGAGAGTTGGGGGAAAAGTTAAACGCAATACATAGAAACATAAAACTTACACATAAACATTGTAAAATAATAGAATAAAACGGATTATTAATGATTCGTTTTCATGCAATAAAATAAAAAATCTACCATTTATACATATATATATATATATATGCTTTTTTCCTTCAAAACCATGGAATTATTTTTTCACAGTGTGTGTTGGCGTGTTCTTTTTTTTTTAACTCTTTTCTTTGAATTTACAATCACAATCGCATGCCAAGATTTCAATAAAATCTAGAAAAAAATGTCTTAAATATATAGATGAAAATTACCTAAATATATCTAAATATATAAATTATTAATGTGATAAATTGCAATAGTAGTAGTATGTTTTACAATAAAAAAAAAAACAAATCATAACAATAACAACCGAAATCAATGAAATCACCTAAAATTCTGAACTTATATAGCCTATAGAAGAAAATATGCAGAAGGTATGAGGTTTGAATTGTTGCAAATTATTAGTTTTCTTATTTTTCATTTACTAGTTGTTGCAGCGTTATCATCGTTTTCTCCATAATAATGACGACAAACTTCGTTTATCTTTTCGCACCACTTCAAGGCATTACTTTTAGTATCTTCAAGATAATAAGTACGATTCGGCTGCAATTAAAAGGAAGCGTTTCTTAAATCTCGGCTATTATTTTAATTAGTCTCACGTACTGTATGGACAAAAAACACTTTGAAGTTTTTGGCTTCAGTTTTTAAGTCTCTAGACCTATACAAGAAAAACACAATTATTTATAATGTCTAGAAATGAGGATTTTTTTGATGTTTACCATGGAACTTCTCCCTTTAATTTCATATTGTCTGGATCGACATAAAACAGTCTAGGTCCCTCTGTTAGCAAGAACATTCGCTTTCGAGCAAAGAGTCCCTATTGAAAAGAATAGTATCCATATTTTTTCATTTGTAATCATAAAAAAGAAATTTGTAACAAAGCACAAAATCCTTACCCGCCTCTTTTCCAAAAAGCCTTGTTTTAGGATAAGATTATTCTCAACGAATTTATGATAGTTATTATTCTTTGCTTGTTCGGCGAGTTTATTTCTTCTATCTTCGTCGCTTAGCCAAATAGCGCTCGATTTACGAATAAGCGGCTTCATACCTTTTTCAGTTTGTAAGTGAAGTCTCATTAGAGCGGAGCCGTCCAATCCCCTGTCAATTTCACTCCATAAGGGCTCAGACGCCTCATCTCTTGCGGGTAAATAAGGAAGAAGCTCGGGGGGCTTTGTCTTAGGTAATTCGTCCCATTTAGTATTTGCGAAGAATGGATGACGTTTTAACTCGTCAAGTCCACCTCTTTCGGAGCAACCTAACCTCTTAGTAGGATCAATTACCTATAATAAATACATATATAACTAAATTGAAACATTTGATCCTAAACTCAAATACAATAAATATCTTAATGAAAAAGTTAATCGATTTTGATTTCTTACTACATGTAAAATATATCATAATATTGATAAGAAAGCAATGAATATGTAAAAAAAAAAAACAATGGAACACAATTGATAAAATATTATATACTAACTAGTAAATTTTGAACAAGATCCTTTGTTGTTTCATTAAATCCTTCAGGAAAAGAATATTCTAGTTTTGAAATCTTATGGAAAATTAAAAGTTCGTAACTGTATAGGAGAAAAACAAATGTATATAAAAAAAAACAAGCTAGCTAATGAGTAAATATATCGAATTAAATTATATATATAGATACTGTATATGTTTATACTTACTCTCCATAAAATGGGAAACTACCAGCGGTAAACTGATAAATAATGCAGCCTAGAGCCCATAAGTCACAACTGTATTAATTTGAAAGAATGGAATAGAAAGAGGGAAATATTATTTATAGTATATATATATATACACTATGTACACGTATATTACATATATTTGGTAAAATTTACCTATAACTAGTTTTTTTATGATTTAGAACTTCAGGGGAAACGTATTGAGCAGTACCAACAAAAGAGGTAGTTCTTGTCCTTCTTATGGCAGTTATTTCTGATAAAATTTGTACATTTACAACAATTAATATATATTTTCTACATATATATAAATATAGTAAAATTCAATTTCTACCTTCATTTTTCGATGCTGAAGGTATCAAATCAGGTAGTGCTGGTCCAGCTTTAACGGGTTGCGCAGGCCGTTCTTTCGCAACTGATGAACCATCATCTTCGTCGGATAATAATTTAACTGAACCAAAATCGCTAATTTTAATATGCTTATCCGCACTTAATAATATATTTTCAGGCTTCAAATCCCTAATAAAAATAATAATAAAAACAAAGTGATTATTAATAAAAAGTATTATGTTTCAAGAATAACTTAAATATCATTCAATTTCTATTTTCAGATAGAGAGAGCAAATGTAATAATTAACCTATGGACTAGTTTTTTGCTCTTCATATATTCTAAAGCAACCACTAGTTCGCTTGAATAGAATTGGGTACATTCTTCATCGAAAGAGCCAAGTCTTTTTAAATAGGATAATATTTCTCCTCTTTCTGCAAAACTCATAGCAAAATCTAGAGGAACATAAAAAATATAAGTAATAATTATACTAAAAAAAAATGTTTATCAATTCATATATATATATATAAATACTATATACATACAAAGTCTATCTGCATCTTGAAAAGTATAGTACAGAATAAGGAAAAAAGGATGTCCTGATACACGGCTTAAGGCGTCTCGTTCCCTAAATATATTCTCCGTTTTCCTTTCCTTCTTTATTAATGCTTTATCCACTACTTTAACTGTTATTGTGTTTTGTATATATTTAAATATCGCTGTATAATAAAAGGCGCAGCAAGAAGAAATATTTACCAGCAAAATGACGTTCAGTTGATACTTCGGTTGCTAAATAAACAGTAGAAAAACTACCTTCGCCAAGAGTTTTCCTAAAAACAAAATCTTCCGGCTTTCTTTTAACTGAGGTTTCGCTTGTTGCCTAAAATTTAAGAAATTAAATTCCGTATTCAATCCGTTTCAAAAGCGGCTTAGATGATAATATAAACATATTGTTTTAAAACCATTCATAATATTCTAGAAACGTACCATATTAATAATATAATTATTCTTCAACACTGTCAAAATGAAAGGACAAATACTAATGTCAGCTTTCTCAACATTTTTATATATCTATTATACCGGAAGTTTAAAGACATAAACTAAATTCTACCCATATTATGGCAATACAATATTGCCGGTATGATCAAAATGGCCGACAAATATACAATAGCCAATCACCATTTTACAAATACACAACTATTTAAACTCTTATGTTTACGTGATTTTAGCGCCATCTCTTGACCACATTGGACAGACATAATTTTTTGCTGAAATAAAAACTTTACGCCTACGTGTCTTATGAAAATTCTATTAAAAATCAAAAATCTATATTATATTTTTAAAGATAAATTAATATAAATGTCTTTCGAACTTATCTTTAAACGATTTTAAGTCGAAAAGCTTTGGGAGAGCCAAAGGAAAAATAATTTTTCACTTTTAAAAACTTTAATAAAACATATGAATTTAATATTAATTAATTTATGTATTGCTTATATAATATGTATACAAAACACCTACATGGCTTTCACTTCCTACTTTTTTTTTTATTAAATTCTTGGAAAAAACACAACAACAACAATAACAAATTAAATTTATATAGGCTAATTATAAGTCATTTGTTTTTGGAATAGGTTTACATTTATTAATAATACTTCTACAACAATTTGTTTCTATGATTATGCAATATATCTATATATATATATATATATATATATATGACTATTGTTTATATGCGTATAGATTTTCTATTCATTCATTCATGTAAAACGTCAGTTTTCATATACATTATATATAGAAGATATTGCTTTTTTCCTTTAAATGAAATGATCATTAGGCTTTGTTTTTACTTGGATACTGTCAATAATGAATGATTACGAGATTAATTTTATGTAAAGTCATCTAACTAATCGCATTGTCAATACTCAATTATGTTTTTCATTCACAAATAGATTATAAAAAGTAATTCTTCTATTATTTTAAGCCTATATTTATTTATATACATATACTTTCAGTATACTATATATATATATATATATATATTTATATATTTAAGTATTGAAATACTGTATATTGGAATATTTCACTTGAGAGTTCTTTCATACAAAAATCTCCATCTACTCTTTTTTCATCATCATTATAAATTTTTTACTAATGTGTTGTTATTGTCATTTTTTTTTTAAAAAAAAACTACAAAATAACCCTTTCTTTATTAACTAATATAATATTTCAGTCAAGAGATTTTGTAACAGCAACAAAATAATCTTTGATGTATCAAAAAGGTAGCATCGTAAAGTTTTCGGTTGATTACAAAACTGAGTCACATGAAAGATTACAAGAATAAAATGAAAGATAAACCCTTAGGAAAGTATAGTACAACAATTATGAGAAAGGACGCAAAAGGAGAAAGAGCGGAAGAGAGTGAGGATAAAGTTCTTTCGTTTTCTTTTCTCATGTTTTATAAATATACAATGTATACAATATTTAATATTTCTGAATATGAAAATGTTATTCTTTATACTTACATCAATTACATCCTAAAAAAGGAAAATATCCCTCGATCTTGTAACATCATATTAGGCTAATATTCACTTTATTTATATAATACATACTGCCAACGAATTCGTTCTATATGAAAAAATGAAGACCTTGAAATTTTATCCTATTTATAAACTACATGACTTTTTAGATTATCAACTCGGAAAGTATCTTTATCTTTTCTTCTTTCGATATATTAATACGATGTTCATATGATGTTTAACTGGACTATGTTCTATCAATGTTACTTGGAAAAGTATTCATACGAGAACCTTTTATAAAAAGAAATAAAACAGCTGTTTTTTTTAATACAGTTGAAATATTATTATGAACAGAAATCGGTAAAAAAGAGAGATTGTTATAGCATTTCAAAAAGAGGCAAAAACCCAACATCTGTTAGTAAGAGTAGTGAAAAATTTATAACAAATAGTTCTATAAGATTTATTCAACTACAATAAATTCGATTATTTCGCCTTTTATTGCTATTTTAATAATGATAATTAGTTACAGGTGATTTAAAATGAAAGATGACTAAGGGCTTATATGCAAATCAATTGAATAGAACCAGATTAAACCTTATGTAACACGTTTACTCGTACCATCAATTAAATTTATTGGAAAGGGAGAATGAGACATAGGTATATGTGTAATGTGTGTATGTGCGTGTGGCAGAGAGAAAAGATATAGAAACAAAACTAAGAGAGATAATAATATATCTTTCTACTCTAATTATCTTTCCACCCCCTCCGTCGTCATTCTTTTTTTTTCTACCTAATATACTTGTAATTAATTATAATCAAAATAACAATACTCTTGACTAATAACAACTGTAAGATTAGTAGAAAAACCTTCTCTAAGGTTTTTACAGGATAATTGTAATTTTTATAAACTCTATACACTAAATATGTGTAGGTATATATCTAATAGTTATTTTATAATAAGATACATTTCTATTTCTCAATTAATCCTCCGTGCTTCTATCAGTCATTCCTTTTTATTATTTATTTTCTATTTTCGTATGTTTATTATCAAACAATCTCACTTTCTTCTTTCGATCTCCATGTCCATAATAGATTAATTTAGTTTTGTTGATTAATTTAATAAATTATCACAAGTTCTACTAGTTTATCAAAATATAACAAAGCTATAGAATTAAATAAATGCAATTTAAGCTATTTATGCAACGACTCTCCAATATTTAAAGTTTTGGAAACGTGTTGTATATGTGACACAAGGAACGCCATCTAGTATCTCTTTTTAGTAGTATTGTTTTTAGATAAACTTTCTATGTTTTTAATTATATTAACAAATTTTTATAGATTTTTTTATTTATTATATAAATAACTCTGATAATAAAATTATCGTACTGAATAGTTAACTATTTTAAACTTTGATATTTCTATTATTTGTTAATTATTTCCTATATATTCAATAGATGGCTCTTCGACCATAGTCGTCTGCTAGAATCTAACAACATGAAGAAAAGTTCGGCATGTTTTCTCTTTACCCTGATTTATCTAACAATTACGACAATCGCAGCTATATTAATATTCTCAAAGGGTTTTTTACTCAAGCGTATAGTTATTGAAGAGTATAGTTCCTGCTCAGACAATTTAAATATTCAAGGTAAAGGCCTAGTTACTTCTGTTATTTGTTCCCATTAAAACAATCTTTCTTACTTATTACAAACGAAAGAAAAATAACCTAATTTCTCCGATAGTAACGAAATGTATAAATAAGCTAAATTTTAAATTAATTTATTAAATAGGTAACAATGAAGCCTCCTGTTGGACACATAAAAAATTTGACAAAGCTGTTATCATACTTATCGACGCCCTTCGTTTTGATTTTGCCAATTATAACGCAAGTTTAAATAAAAAAATGGCTTTACCTTTTCAAAATCGTTTGGGAATCATTCATGAATTACTTCAAAAAAAGGGAAATAACAGCCAATTTTATAAATTCATAGCCGATCCTCCAACAACAACCATGCAACGACTAAAAGCACTGACAACTGGTAGTTTACCTACCTTTGTAGATGCTGGAGCTAATTTTGCTAGTGCCAAAGTCCTAGAGGATAATATTCTACGTCAAATGGTGAAAAGAGGAAAAGTTGGTCTTTTTTTTATCTATTTATGAAAGACCAAGAAAGAATGAGCTTTTTCTAGGGTTAAAATATTTGTTCTTCCATTTTCAGAATATAACGTTTATGGGAGATGATACGTGGGTGAGCCTCTTCGATGATTTCCGCAAAGCTTTCCCATATCCATCTTTCAATGTAAAAGATCTTCACACCGTCGATAATGGTGTTATAAAACACTTAATACCTGAGTTAAAGAAGAGAGATTGGAATCTATTTATTGCCCACTTTTTAGGTGTTGATCATTGTGGCCATAGATACGGTCCTAATCATCCCGCTATGGCAGCAAAATTAGAACAGATGGACGATGTGCTTAGATCAATTGTCGGAGAGTTAAAAAATGATACTCTTCTTGTGGTAATCGGTGATCATGGTATGACCGCCACTGGAGATCACGGAGGCGATAGTCCAGAAGAAGTAGAAGCTGCAGCATTTTTCTATAGTCCAAAAGAGATGTTCGAAAATCCAAGTTAGTATAATAAACAATAAAATAAACAATATAAACTAAACACTTGATTTGACTTTTTAGAGAAAGATAAAATCGAAACTATCTCCCAAATTGATCTTGTTCCAACTCTCTCCTTACTTTTAGACTTACCTATACCATTTTCAAATTTAGGTACAATATTAGCAGACTTTTTTTCAAGTAAATCCAGTATTAATTCACAATTGGAAAGATTAAAAGTACTCCAAATAAATTCTCAACAAATATCAAGATATTTGCAAACTTATATTAAACAATCCGATGAATTTAACCATCGTCAATATTCAGAATTGGAAAAATTGTTGGAAAAATGCCAAAAAGATTTAAAAGAAATAATACAAAGAATAAAAATTGATAGAAAATTTGAAGGAGTAACGAAAGTTTTAAATGAAATTGAATCAAATTATAAAACCTATTTACACTCCACTAAAGAAATGTGTAGACTCATTTGGGCTAAATTTGATACAGATTGGATGCTTTCTGGAGGAATTTTACTACTAATGAATATAGTAGTTTTCATATTTCTCTTAAATTTAGAGGAAATGGATATTAAAAATATAACATCCATTTTCTTTGTGCATTTCATTGTTTTTATATCTTGTGTGATATCAAATCTACTTGCTTCCATTATTGTTGGTCCAACTGTCATCTATACTCTCACAAAATGCAAAATGACAAATGAAAACATCTTATTATGCTTCTTTACTATCCTATTCAACATTATTCATCTTTCAAATAGTTTCGTGGTTCATGAAGATAAGATTTTACAGTTTTTACTAACGTCGATTGTATGGTTTATGGCTTATAGAACAAGCGCATCCAGTAAGAAGCTACATCTTCTACTGGTAGTCTTCTTTTTTTCAATTTCCATTAGAATTTCAAGAGAATTTTGCGCTTGTAGAGAAGAACAAGGTGAATTTGCCTTTTCCTTTAAAACTTTCTTTTTACCTTTTTGTCATTCTTTTTTCGTCCTATTTAGGTCAAGATTGTACAGCGACCAGATGGCTTAAACCTCTCTCTTCTATATCTGATAATTTATCAGGTTACAAGCAAATGAGATTCCTTCTAAGTTTATCCGCTATTTCAACGGCTTCTGGTGGTATTAGCCTTTGGTTGAAGGCCGTTGGTAGCCTAAACTCTTTCTCCCCACCAATTGTTTCTTTCAAGTACATTGTCCCAATATGTATTTTATCTAATTGCGTCCATTGGGCTCTTCAACTACTACCCAATAATGTGTATGAAAAATTGGATAGTTGGATAATTGTCGCTCCACCAAGACTTACCTATTTACTTATTACTGTATCAATTCTGCTTACGCTTATCTATCCATTATGCGTCATGGAAATATCAAAATTCAACTCAATTCCACAAACAAACAATTTAATTCCATTAATCTTTGAACGACTTAAAACCAAAAAGACACCACCAATTGTTTTCGGACTCCTCACCGTCTACTCGAGCCCCATATTAATAGTCCTAATTTGTTTAACAGTAACCCTGAGTCTATTGGTTGGAGATAGTTATACGCCATCGTTAGGTAAATAGTTAATATTTGTATATTTTGCAATTTAAAAAAATTGAATCCATAAACAGCTCTACAAATTCTCTCTGGTGCGTGCCTACTAGAAATTATAACGTATTGTCAAAATAGTAAAAATCTCAGTATACTTACATGGGTTATTCTGTCCTATTTCTACTTCTTCGCAACGGGCCATCAAGCTACATTTACATCTATAAAATGGGAATCGGCATTTGTAGGTTTTATAGGTGATCACGAAGTATACGCACTACCAGTGATAATGATAGCTTTAAATACATTCGCTTCTCACGTTATAAGCAGTGTTACAGTAGTTTTAATTGCATTTTGGACTGCTACAAGAAAACATGAAAGAGGGGAATTTTCAGTATACGAAACTGCATTAGTTAAAAAAGAAGTATGGCGAGTGTGTATAATATATTTATTATTTCATGCAATAAAAATATTATCCACTTTAATATCTGCTGGATTATTAAGAAGACATCTAATGGTATGGAAGATATTTGCTCCAAGATTTGTATTTGAAATAGCAACATTTCCAGTTGTTTGTATATTTGTACTTTTCTCTTTTCTAATTGTTATCAGAACTGATAATTCATTAGAAAAGTTTGTTAATTCTATTATAAAAAAGAATTGATTATATTGTTTTTCTGTATTCTGCCTTTTTATATTTTCATTACAAATCAGCTTATCAATCATCTTCATTTCTTCTCGTTTCTTGCTTTTATAAGAAAAGAATATTATAGTTTACTCTTTTCGTTATTTAACCATTTGAACTCTGGTATTTTGGAATGTTCTGTTTTGGAGAACACAACACATTGAATATAATAAGAACGGAAGAAGGGAAAAGATACAAAATTATACTAATAAAAGACTAACCGGGTACTTCCCAAAGAATACTTGTTGAATATAAACTTTGGCCACCGTCTATTCTAACAGTTTCACCCGTTATAAAAGATGCTGCCGGTGATAATAGGTAACATACAACACCAGACACTTCTTCAACTGTTCCCAAACGCTTAGCGGGAATTCTTGGTATTTGGTTATCAAATATTTCCGAACTACCATAATTAGCAGCAGCAGTATCCGAAAATATTGAACTTCCCTATATTACCGTACATGTATGTATGTACTTAGTAAGAGCAGATAAATATAATAAAAACTAACCGGAGCTACAGAATTTATTCGAATTCCGTTTGGTGCCCATTCAACAGCTAAACTTTTGGTCAAATTATCAACACCTGCTCTTGCTGCTCCAGAATGACTGTTTTTTATTTATAAATGAATAACTTTTCTTTAATTAATAAATAATATAGAATAAACCTCATTCCAGGCCAGCCGTTAAACATGTTGGCAATTATGTTGACAATACACCCTCCATTCTCTTTCATGTACAAATCATACGCTGGAGGGTAGAAATATAGATAAATTATTAGTTATTATTATGATTGAACCTTTATACCCATAGTTACGTCATTTTATAGCGTTCGTCTACAAAAAAGAAACTTACCAGCCTTGCAGCAATAGAACGTTCCAACTAGATTTGTCTCTATGACGGCATTAAAACCTTTGGAGTTAATATTAGACGCTGGACTGTAAAATTGTCCTCCGCTATTATTAACCAGAAAGTCGATCTTTCCAAAACGTTCTATTGTTGTTTGCATCATGTTCTTAACTTGATCTTCCTTTCTTATATTACATTCTACAAATTGTAAGTTCTCGGATTCGAAATCGAAAGATCTCTTTATTTCATCAGCTGCACTTTTTAATTTATCAATCTTCCGGGAAGCTATCATAACTTTGCATCCTGTTTTATTTTAGAGACATATGTAAATATATACAGAAATATATATATTCATATATATACAATATCTATGCTGTTTGTTAAAAAATATTCCATCAATCTTGCACTTAATATCGCTCATAAAAGCTAATTTGTCAAATTAGAACTGTACCTAAATACAATAGTTCTTGGGTAATTCCCTTGCCAATTCCAGTTCCACCCCCAGTAACAATTGCAGTTTTTCCTTGGAAGAGATTCTTCCTAAATACGCTAGTAGCACGCGAAATAGAGGTCATTATTTATGGACAATGATATACACTGAACGAAAACTAGGTTGAATGTACTATCTATTTTTTTCTTGAAAGAACTTTTTTATATATAACGCTATATCTATAAATAGATGTCAAAGAATCCAAACAAAGTGTGTCTATATACATCATTTACACTGTATTCAAAGAATACATATACATGTTTATATACAGTATCTATATTTACTATATAGAAGAAATAATTATCAACTTTTAATCTAAAAATAGAAATAGTTATATAATAGGATAAATACTGAATTGAAGGAGGAAAATAGACAAAATAAACTAGAAAAAGAGAATAAGCTTTTAAAAGATTATTCCATTGTTTCACTATCCCAGTCTCTATTATTATTAACAAAAATGCGCGTGAAATAAAGTTACTTTGTTCTTTATTTTTTACGGTATTGTTTAATATTCTCTTCTTCCTCTCTTCCGCTATTTATTGGTGAAAGAAAAAACATATATTGGAATATCTAAACTATCGGCTATATTAAAGTTTTATTAGATCTCTTAATAATGCTATTTATCCGTATTTATTACACCTAAATCCATCATCTTTTGGTCGGTTGTTGATGACGGCGTTAATGGTATAAAATTATATTTGTGGAAAAGTTCAAACTCTTCTAAGATGAACTTTATATAGTCTTCATATAAAGGTTATAATAATCAGTTGGAAAAATGTTGTACTTTGAAAAAGTTAAGGGTTAGAGATAATATGGTTGAAAAATATAACGATGGAATGGTGGGGCATAAAGTAAAGTGGGAAAAGCTTTGAGAAGGATAGAAGGCGTTATATTACGCCTTCTTCCATTAATAATTATAGATATTTTTAAATATATTTTATGTGTAGAAAGATAACAAACAATAAACTCATTCTATATAAAAATCTTTTGCATATTGTTCCCTCTTTTCTCATTTCTACGAAAATCAATATATACAAGTACAAAACGTTATTTTTCGCTAATAGAGCATTTTGCGAAAAATAGGAAAAATATTGAAAAAATATTGAAATAATTCAACCAATAAAGAAATTACAAACCAAGCAATTTATCGCACCCTTTTATACTTTATCACTAAATATAGGAGATAGTGAGAAGTTTATTACGTGTCACATAGGCTTAAAATGGGCGTTCACCTCGCTTTCATACCGACCTGACGTCACTCGGTGGCGTCGGCATTGTTACAGCTAACATTACATGCATCGAGAATGAACAAGTCTGGCACTTTCGAAAAAAAACACTCGGCAATATCTAAAATCTGTTGCAGTTGCAACGTTTTTAGATTAACTCAACAATTTGAAAAAGTCTCAACACAGAAGCCGAACATTTTGGATTTATCAGGAAAATCTTCAAAGAAGAGATTTCAATTTAGAAAATTTATAATACCAAAATTAATTACAACTCCTCCGGAAGAGCATAGCGAAGAAAAGGAAGATACCGAAGAAGAAAGAATGGAAAAGTTGAAACAAATAAAGCAAATGGTTCTTCTAACTGTACCTTCTCTTCAAGCAAAAACTTTTGAGGATTTAACCGAATATACAGAACCTATACATCTGTAAAAAATTTTTATCATTTATTAATTATTTATTTCTATAAAGATTCATTTTAAGACATAAACTATATTCGCTTTTCTGAGTTAAATGTAAAATAAGCAGAGTAACATTTAAGAATGTAAAGTAATTTGTCCTAGCACTTTATTAAGTATGCTACGCACTAAAAATTGACAACCAAGTATATCACCTATTGCTGTTGAGCTTTTTACAAAGAAAGGTAGGTTTTTTTGGGGTTATTTCGTACTAAATTCTAACGGTTAGAAGACGTACAAGTGAATAAATAACTTAAATGTATATTTCTCACTAATATAATAAATATTATATTGTATTTATCAAATGATTTAGAAGAAAAGAAGGGACTAGTTACTAAAGGATTTAATCATAATAATTGCTATCTGTTCGGCTAGTTACTAAGAAAATATTTGCATGTAAATTTTCTTTCATCATCATACAATATCCCACTTCTTTTCAGCGGTAACTCAACTCTAGTATCTAATAAGTGTCTTTCTATTTTGGTGTAACGACGTGAATATTTCTATGGAAGCATTATATCGTTCTTTGTTTCTTTTCATTCTTAATTTTGATCCAGAGCTTACTCTTCAGTATTATTCATATTATTTATGCGTTTAATGTAAAGGTATATACAGTATATAAATTTATACTGTATATGTAAAGTATATTCATATTTAAGAAATATAATAAAAATAGTCTGCTTGACGTTTAATTGTATATTCAGTTCTTGTTCTCTTTAAATTCTATATTTAATATTTTCTCAGTCATAAATGTATTAGGCTGAGAAGATGCTCCTTATTTAAAATTAGTTGTCGGTTTTACAAGCTGTTCGCAATTCCTTCTTTACAATTTCCTAGGTTAATTGACGTATTTAAGTACAATTGCTATAGGTCTTGCAAATTGCTAGTTTCGTATCTTTTAAAATGCGGTATACACGAATTAGTATCCTTTTCATTATGTTAAGTATTATCCATATACAAATTGCAATTCTACGATAATTATAAATAATCATCAATTTGGAATTCGTCCTTTAATATAAGTTAATTACCGTCTAAAATAATAGATAGTGGGCTACACAAATACTGCATTTAAGGACATATCCTATGGAGATTTTTTTAAAAGACATCCGGGGGTCAACGGCCTGATTTTGATTCAATTAATCAATTAACTATATTTAAGTTAAATATAATATACATTGCTTTTATTTTCTAAGAAAAAAGAACCTTGTTAGATAAACTACGTATAAAGAATTTAAAATTTTCCTAATAATTCAATAAAGAAAAAAAGGATATTTAAGTATAAGGCACAGCCGTCTCCTGCTTTATTTCTCCAACCCTTTTACATAAATAATACTTAAGGAAAAAGCTTTAAGATCCTCTATACTCTCTTTACATCCTTATAATATCATTCAATAATTCCTTACATTCTATCAACATTTTGTTTCTTAGATGCATTTCCATTGCTAAGCATAATAATTCGTAGGCTTTAGGCTTTAGAATCATAAATTAGTGTTGTCTAATATTTATAGAGGATATATATATATATATATATATATATATATATATAGTGTATATAAAGTATATATTTACGCTTTTCGACTTGATTAGTAAATACTTAAGGATTTACCGCCTATTTAAAACCAACTATATACTGTATAGTACGTATATATATATATAAGAGAAAAAAATGTTCTATTTCATCAGATGGCGCTTTCACCAATCTCAAAGCTTTCGAAATAAAAAAAATCTATTCATTTTATAGGTCAAATTAAGCAACTAAGAACAAACTGTTACATAGTTACCAAGCCATTTACTTATGTTTAAAAATATAATTTACTTTCTATATATATATAAATGGTATTACTACAATTACTAAGTCTAAAAGATAGAAATTAGATCGTTATCGAGAAAAAACAAATGCAAAAAAAAAAACAAAATAATGAAAGCACTGATTAATTAATTAACAAACTAAATAAAGTGTTAAAGATCCTATTATTTATCGAGTAAATAAATTATTATTCTATATAAATAATAATCTAAACTAACAACAAAGTTAAAAATAATTTTAATTAAGTGTGTTTTGTGCAAACCAATAAAAATGGGAAATACGTCCTTTTTTTGAATAAGTGTATCTTACGTAATCTTTTGTGAAAACTCTATAAAAACAGGAAAAAAACTCTTTAAACCAGTAATCTTACATCATAAGTTATTAGTCTCTCTTGAAAGTTACATCTCCTAGCCAGCTTATTTCCCTGATTTAGTCATACCCAAAAAAGAAGTATTACTGACATACAATTTATTCTGTGATTTTGTCATTTTTTTCTCTTTTTCGCACATATAATTAATAATGTTTACTTATAATATTTTGACATCTTTTATTATTAAATACGTTTTTTTATCTTAAATTTTCTACGAAACATTTCCAAAACAATATGGCGGAATTCTTGTGCATGATGTTCAATTTTTGAAAAATTAAAATGCGTTGAAGTCTGAAAATAATCGGTCGTAAGGATATTTAGGACAATTTAATAAATGGATAATACCATGGACTTGAAACCAGAAAATTTAGGAAAAGCTTATCCTAGAGTTTCTTGGCCGCCAAGGGTTCCGTTTCATCATTCTCCTTACCGACAGCATGAAAGAAATACCAATGGTAGAAAGAGATCTATCTATAGGTTAGTTAAACTAGACTTCTAAGACTATTTAATAATTTGGATGGCACGATCTCAACGTAACGGCTGTACTTAATGCCAATTGAACCGGCTTATCTCAATCGCTTCACAAGTTTTACCAAACTATCTTCCACTTGCATATTTGAAATACTGCAGATGCATGGGAAAATCTATTATATAATTATTATGTATGCTATATGTTTTTCAAAATACATTTATCTTCTCTATATTTTAGAAAAACTATTGACTATAATGCGGCTATGATACTTTACCTGGAGAATCGGATCTGGCAAAGAGATCGCCGCGATATTCGTCTTACCCAACCTGATAAACTTTATTCACAAAATGTATGCTATTTAATACTCCTTGGAAAATTGATAATTCTATGTATTCTTTCTCTTTACAGCTTACCCCTTGTATGGATATGCTTAATAAACCAATGAATGCAGTTTGCACAAAGTTCATAAGGCAATCGACAAATAAGAGTAAATGTCCTATTTTCCGAGTAGTAGTAAGTTGTAATACTATACTTCGTATTCATTAAATAACGCTGCATTTACCTGTTCAGTGGACACCAGAAGGACGAAGATTGATAACTGGTGGTTCTAGTGGAGAGTTTACCTTATGGAATGGATTAACGTTCAACTTTGAAACAATTCTGCAGGTATTTTTTTTTACGCAGAAAGTATTATTCAGCAAATTCAAGTGAATATCTTCCCTAGGCTCATGATTCAGCTGTGCGAGCTATGATCTGGAGTCATAATGATCAATGGATGGTAACGGCAGATCACAACGGATTTATAAAGTATTGGCAAAGCAATATGAATAATATAAAAGTTTATCAGGCACATAAAGAATCTGTCCGTGGATTATCGTAAGAAATAATAATTAAATGGGAAATAATATACTCATTAAAGCGTATTTACAAATGTTAGATTTTGCCCATCTGATTCTAAATTTGCTACTGCTTCTGATGACGGTACTGTAAGAATTTATGACTTTACGAGATGTTATGAAGAGAGAATACTGAGAGGTAAAATATAATCGATGTGCTTTAAGTATAGATATATATATTACTTGTTTATAAGGTCATGGTGCTGATGTTAAGTGCGTCGACTGGCATCCTCAAAAGTGTTTATTAGCCTCTGGATCAAAAGATGCCCAACAGCCAATAAAACTTTGGGATCCAAGGAATGGAAGCTCTTTGGCAACATTGTAACAAAAATTAAACATCAATTTAATCTTTTAAATCCTACATTTTCAATCTCATTACACAGACACGCTCATAAGAATACAGTCATGCAATTGCAATGGAATAATAACGGAAATTGGCTGTTAACAGCATCTAAAGATCATTTATTGAAATTGTATGATCTACGAAACATGAAACAAGAGTTACAAATTTTCAAAGGGCATAAAAAAGAAGCAACAGGTTTGTTTAGGTTTATTTTTTTTACAATATAACAACTACACCGTAAATTAATCCTTTGTAGCCTGTTCTTGGAATCCCATTCATGAGAATCTATTTGTTAGTGCTGGATCTGATGGATCTATATTTTATTGGGTTGTTGGGTAAGTAAAATAATAATTGGTTATTTTGTAAAGTTAATCAATATCGAATTTTAGACAAGAGAGAGAAGTAGGATCAATTGCTGAAGCCCATGAAGGAATGATATGGACTCTTTCATGGCATCCTTTGGGTCATATTCTCGCTTCAGGGTCTAATGATCATTCTACGTAAGTTTTACGCTGATCATATTAAACTTAAATAATGACATGTTTTCTACCTGTAATAGGAAATTTTGGTCTAGAAATCGGCCAGGAGACTTAATGAGAGACAAATATAATTTAAATACTTTACCTGTCGGGGTATCAGAAGATGCTGATGGTCAGTATTTTATTAATTGCTTCCGAAAAAATAAGTTATTTGCTTTCGCCTATTTCTTTCACTCCTAAAATTGTTATAGATATGGATAATCTACAAGGTCAAATTGTACCAGGATTAGGGCTTGATCAAATAACAGTTGAACAAATAAATCAAGGTTCTAACGAAGGTATTTTTCAAATTATTCACCCTATTTTTAATAATAATTATAAATAAAACTCTAATTCAATAACCATATGTCAACCTGTAGAAGAGTTGGATATGAAAGAGCATGAAGTTCAAACTGGTATTAGTATTCCTGGTTTGGACATTGATGATCGATCCTCTGAGCAGTCAGAGGCGGCTAATACCAACCAATCTCAAAAACGAAAGCAACCGTATGTTAAACCCATACCTAAAGACTTTCAGCGTTCTTGGATGGATAGTGGTCCTGTTAGGAATCAAATGGGCCCTCCTCCATCTCATATGGAACCACCACCACCTTGGGCTATAGAAAACGCTCCATACGGTGGAATGCCACCTCCAAATAACTATAATGATCACATGGGGCCTAAGCCAGCACTTTTACCTAGACCAGATATGCACAGTGGCCCTGGAGAATGGATGGGTGACTGGAGAGACGGACCTCCTCCAGGACCGCCACATCAAGGACCACCTCCAGGCCCTAACATGATGATGGGAAATTGGCCTAGAGATGTCGACGAGGAGCGAATGATGATGGATGAGCGCATGAGAGATGAAAGGATACATCAGGATGATCGAATGAGAATGGACGATAGAATGCCAGACGATCGAATGAGAGACGATATGGATAGAAGAGATGGTAAAAATTTTTCAAATTATCACGATCAGTCATTTCCAAGTGAGTATATTTTTTGCATGTAAATATTTACAATTTAAATAAATTAATAATTACGTTTCAATAGTGGATCAAAATCCAAGAAGAAGGGGAGGTAGAGGAGGTTCACGAGGAAATAGAAGACCACTCTCAAGAGGTAGAGGTAACTCAAAAAGAGGAAGAAACCGATAGACTGTTAAGAAAGTGTATTTTTGTTCATATAATTTTAAAATTTATATGTCAAACCATGGATTTAAGTTAAAGTTTTTAAAATAATTCTAAGAAAAAAAACCAATATATTTTAATTTTTTATTTGATTGTTATTTTAAAAAAGAAAAGTTTAACGAAAAGCTCAAAAATATGCACTAACAAATTAGCTAATTTACTAACTAATATTTGTTTATTTCATCCTGATCGAGTCAAAAACTGTGCAAATATATATTACATAATTAAATCAAGAACTCTAGTCTGATTGAAAGGATTGCGAGAACAATGTTAAATTCTGACGTCACACTACACTCCAAGTACGTTAATAATAGATACAGAAATAGATTCAAGTAGTCATCTAACATATTGGAAGGGCTAACTAGCTGTATAGAATTAATACACTGACGGTGAAATAATATCCTTATTTTGGAATAGTGATTATAATAATAAATATCTCATTTGAAATGAGTTACATTATACGAATAAAGTACTTGCAAGAACTGTTCTTAAAAGGATTTTCATGATATATTTGTTCTAAATATCAATATTCATAAGAAATACTATTTCTCAATGAACGTGAGAATATTAAATAAGAACAAGTTGATTATGAGAAATACTATTAATATCAACTGCTCATTAGTAGTAAATTTTCCCACAGTTACATCTTTTTCATCTTTCTCCAATCCATTCATAATTTAGATTACATTTAAGTATTTTCCTTTGAAACATTTTTTAATTGCAAATCTAAGAGTTCATAAGATGAGATTGATTCTAATTTAAGATAATTGTACCCTTTCGTCTTTGCGTGCAATCTCTATTTCTTTGTTTGTAATCTATTCAATTAATCTAGAAAATTTAAGAGCTAATAGTAAACTTGTTGCAAAATGTAAACTTTACAATTAGCAAACGCTATAGGTTAAGTTTTTTGTTCAGGTATGAACAATTTCATAAAATAGAAAGAGAAACTCAATTCCTTTTATCTAGTATGTATCTTATACCCGTTGTTGCCACCATCTTGTTTCTACATCATCTGTTTCTTTCCCTTTCTCTTAGTCAATTTTAATTCAAGGTAGAGATGGACGAAGAACTGACCTGTTTGAGAATATTGAACAATTAATTTTTCAACTATTCATTCTTGACTATATTCACAGTAAAGAAATCAGAAATGAGGAAAAGTTCAAAAACAAAATGCTTCTATAAAGTTTGAAAATGTCAACTCAGTGTTTACATACGATAACCTTTTTTTCCCTACATCAGACTTGAATGTTTTGCTTGGAGAAGAGAATTTTTTGAATAGCTCAAAGTTACTATACTAATAGTTAAAAATATAGAATTTTTAAATTTATCAAAGTAGAAGGAAAATTAAGAATAAATGTATTCCAGTGTTGAGACTAATTAATTGTTGCGTAATTATTTAACGCTGAACACTTACACTTGGATTTGTTGTTGACCTTATGTATTCAAACAGTTTGTTTGCTAAAATAACAAAGGGGGCGCTTAATTTCGTATATAGTGCTGAAATAAAGGATTGAAAATATACTTGGTTAATCGAAATAGGATAAAAGATGAACGCTTCAGCCTATAATTTAGCTTTATTCATATTTGTCCTACTATGTTTTGAAGTAAAGCAGCATGTTCAGCAATTATATGTAAAATCATCAGTCGTTAAATGTCAGCCTTGCAATAGAGTTAAATGTGCCGAAGTAAATTTATCTTGTAAAGGAGAGAGGACGAAAGGAATTTGCGGATGTTGTGACAAATGCGCTAAAGTTATAGGTGAGAATTGCGGAGGAGTATACTATTATCTCGGCAAATGCAATCAAGGTTTATACTGCAAACCATTAATAAAGAAAAAGAATAGATTGCGAAAAAAATGGCCTGAAAAGGGTCGTTGTGTCAGGTTTATTACAAAGAGTAGAAGACAATTGGATGAACCTTTTAAAGATACTCATCAATGTCATCCTAAATGCTCTCCAGAGTACTGTAGAAAACGTCCCAGAGCTATCTGTTCTGCTAAAAGGTTAATTAAATAATTATGTTAAAACTCGTTATTTTAAAATTTCATTTTTATTAACTTTAATTCTAGTGGAATAGCTCTTTTTGAAAGAGAATGCAGCGCCCCCTGTCAACTAACATCCTGTCGAGCTTGTTATCACGAATCAGAGAGTACCTGTAATAAGTGTTCACCAAAAGATTATAAATGCCTTCGACTTTACGCCGTCTGCATAAAGAAGATGACATGTACAAGGAAGAGATTTCCTTGCCGAATAAAGAGAACATCCGTAGGACCGAAGAAAACTTTTAAATGTCACGTACCGCAATGTCCGTCATCTGTTGTACGTCAGTAACGTTTATATGTTTTTGTTTGTTTGTTTGTTTTTGCTATCAAATATTTAAATGAGTTTGAAGTATTTTCATTTATAGTTATAATAATTAGTATTGGTAAAAAGAACAAGACGAAATATATTTAAAAAAAACTGGTAGATAATTATGAAAAATAATAAAGAAAAACTTTTAAAAAAAGCTTTCTTAAATTATTATTTTTTGTCTATTTCCTTTTCTTTTTGTTTATTTTATTTGTTTTTTTTCTCTCTCTCTCTTTCTTTTATTTGAAAAAAAAAAGAATAATAAAAATATAATGAAAATTCATAGCAACCATGTCTTTTTTTTGCATATAATGTATATATATAATGAATAAAATCAAAATAAACAACTAAAATTCGAGTCAGTTTATAAATAAAAATAAAAACAACATAGAAAAAATTGAAAATAAAAGTAAATAGGTAGCGCCACCTACAACTGGAGCATGATTGTAAAAAGGGCAATATGGACACTGGAATGACCCGCAAACTTGGCAAATATGCAAACTTGTTAGGTAATGTGTTGTATATAATGAAGTATTGTGCATACCTGAAAAGAAAAAGAAAGTTATTTTTGAATACATGAATGAAAAAATTGAATTTATAGTTTGTTCTACCTGGCTCATAATAATCGTAGACTCTAATTTTATGTTGAATTGTTAAATTGGCGACTGGAAACCATCTATCAGTTCTAAATTTTACACATGTATCTTCCTTATAACCTACGTAATCGAAATAGAAGACAACTTTTCTATCATAAGTTTCCGCTCTTCTCAATGTTGGTACTCGACCAGATTGAGCATATGATCTAAGTACGTCGTTGGTAATTCTATAACCAGTTGGTAAATCCATTTCTAAAACAGTCATACCGCTAGTATTTGATAGATCAGGTCTTACCCATCTGACGCAAGGATTAAATTCGACAAACGAATAATTCTTGCCACCGTAGCTCTCTTTTAACTCAATTGAAAAGAAGTCTCCTTCTGGTTTAGGCACAATTTGTCTTGAATATTCTACATTCACTTTGGTAGATAGTTGCATTAAAGCTATTCCATTTCCAGTTGCTGTACCTCTTACGTAACCCCAAACAGGTGTTATTGGAATTTCTTGTAAATCTATCCAATTCGTTTTATTCAAACGAAGTACATAGGTCAAGTTCTGATTAGAGGTTGGTGATACTTCAATATACATTTGATAAAACGCTTTGTTCATATCCTTCAAGGAATATTCGACAAGTGCTTCTTGAGCAATAATTGAATCCTCAGTAGAAGAATGACCCGCAAATGAATTTCTCATTGATTGAAGCCACAGCATGCTTGGGAAGGATTCGCTATAGCCATCAGAAGTTTGAAGTAAAGCTAAAATTGCGTAACCCGTCGTTGCAACCCCATATGCTTCATTATCGTACCATTTTCTTGGTTGATGAACCGGTAAATTATCTTCAAATCGAATTCCATTTTTTGGAATACGTTTATTTGCCCAATATTCCTTATCAATTTGAATCTTTCGTAACCTATTTAGAGCTGGGCTGCTGGTATCTCCACTAGAAAGTAGCGCATATGCTAAAATAGCGGTTGTGAATGGTGAATGGTCACCGGCCGCATTATCCCTAAGATATTGAATAGTCTGTGAAATTACGCTATCGCAGCCTGTTGAGCCTTGTAGAGCTGATCTTGCCGATTGTAAAGCTATTAGAACATGAGCACTAAGTGCTATTTTATCATAATTTTCAGTACCGTTTAACCACATTTTTCGATTATAATGAGGAGAAGTTTCAATAAAACCTCTATCGTCATCTCTCTTATCAGCTGCACATAGCCATCTGCCCATTTCGGTAAGAGTTTTTGTTGCCATGAAAATTTGATTGATACCAATCTTTAGATAATTACCCGAGTACATTTTGTGGAATACCTTTAGGGCATGTGCAGTTAACCAAACACTAGGAGTGTCCTCTTGATAGTCTCTAAATAGCGAGAAGTATCCTATATCGTGGTTATTAGAATCTTTCTTCAGAGTATAATAACTCATTTGTCTTTGAAGTCCTTCGTTAACCTTGTCAATTGACAACCGAAGGCGATCATTCGCTAATTGATTTGTTCCACTCATATAACGAAGATAAAGAATATTTGTAGCTAAATTATAAAGGCTTTGTTCACCTCCTCCGAAAGGTTTCCTGATAGAATTTTCAGCGTCCAAATAGTCCTCAAAGAAGCCTGGACCTACAATGTCTCCAACTATTCCGATTGTAGCTTCCGGAGAACCTGGAACGTAAAGATGCTGTCTCTCTTGTGGTCTAATAAATCTCTCGGGAACAGGTATTTCCAAATCTGGTATAGCTCTTGAGCCCTTATTGATTAAATCAATGACGAAAGGTGTATTTAGGTAGTTGGTTACACCATCGAAAGTACTACACATCTCAACTGTTTCTTCATCTTTGTACATAAAATTGGCAACAGATATGGTAACCGAGAAGCATCCTTCTTTCAAATGTAACACAGGAAAGTGTAGTTCTCTCACAAAACCAGACGGCATGTAAACCATTGTTTGTATATCGCCTCTTAATAGACGAGGGCTATAGGAAGAAACTATACCGTCCTTTTCTACAACAACAAACGCGTAATCATCTGAATCGTGCAGAGTTACTAGACACTCAAGATTTTCAGTCCAATAATTAAATAACGAAATTCTGACACCAATTTGTTCACCTTTTATTACAGACTCAGGTGCCTCGGCTCTCATATAGAAAGGTCTTGTTGCTTGATGCCTCGATGGATTGAAAACCATACCGAAACCTTTATCCCTTGATATTGAGAAAGCATCTACAACCCACGGCATTGGTTCATCAGGTACTTCGGTTTCGAGATCAATACGCCCGTTCGGCATAAGAAAGTGTCCTAACCAACCCCAATCGCCCATTTCATTATAGTGCCTAGTCAATAAACTTAGACGGTCAAACGGTTTTGTGAAGGGATATTTTGGAACTCTGTTAGTGCAACCCATTTCATCTACACCGTCCTCACATTTCATGACTCCATCACACCATTCTTCAATTCTGAAGCACTGTCTGCCGGACATACAAGGATAATCTCCTAAAGTTTCATTACAATTATGGGGCATTCTCGTCACGTTGGCATCAGTGAAGACTATCAATCCAGCAAATTCGAAAGTTTTGTTAGCGTCTATTGCATATGTCGGTGCAGGGAAATGAACTAATTCCCGGAAAGTCTCTCCAAATGTCCATTGAAATCGAAAACTGGTATTGGCGTGACTATCAAATGACCTTAACTCATTAATTATATCAGTTTCTTGGACAAAATTAGATCCTCCAGAATAGACATAAAGTTCATGACAAAGTGCCGAAAAACCAATATAAGCTGATCGGTCACTCCATCCGGTTATTTCAACTACATCTCCTGTAAAATCTTTACCTCTATTAACTCTTAAATCAACCGGATTTAATCTTGTTCCATTAACAAAAAAATTAACACTATCGGCAAGAATTTCTCCTTTGAAAATTGTCCATACAACCATTCTAGCTTCTGGAACCATATCTCTAGAAACGGCAATAGAAAAGGTTTTTTGGCTGGAGTACAATTCTATCACTCCTCCTGTCACTATATTGCTAGCGGCCGTGACAATATAATGAACGTTGTCTAACAAAGTATTACTTCGAACAGTAAATACCATGTATTGATCTACTTGCGGAGTCTCTGTCGAAGATGATATATAGAGGAATCTATCATGAGTTGTATAATGCCTGGTCATGTAAACATCAACAGCATTTGACTGATAGAGATCATAATGAGCTGTTAATCGAATTTGTCGAGCATCGTTACTTGGGGTGAAAGTATACTTTGCAATTCCATCATCTCGAACTATTAGTTTGGCATCTGGTATAAATTCGGAATTAGGGGTTTCTACTCGTTTTACGGTCACTTGCCGTCGATGGGAATGTAAGGGCGTGCCATCTTGATTTGATACGGCAAACTACAAACAAAATATGTTATATAAGAATAATTATATTATTGTTTTATAACCATGTTTGTTCTATAATTTACTTACATAGACTGAAGTGGGCATTCCCGGCTTGAATGTTCTCGACTTATCACCAAGTAAGTAAATTGACGTTGCATTACTGTAAACGACTGCACGAGAACTTCCCGACGCTTCTTGAACTAAAAACCAATCATAAACGTAGGCGTCAACGACTATTTCGTGATTTGCGGGGCTCCGACCACCCAATAAGTTCCGTATTTCGTCCATTGTAAACATAAAATCAGTAACGCCTGCAAAATATCTAGTTTCTCGAACAATTTTGTCTGAACCATCCTGAAATGAATGAATATTGATATCATCCGTTTCACTCTTATTGAATTGATCCTTTAAATTTATAGCATGAACTTTAACGTATTCTTTAGCAGCTTCAATATCTTTAGGAGGTTTGACGCTCATCTCAATTCTAATTGTTCCCTTAGCCGGTTGACCCAAACTCAAATTTGCCGATATTACACCAGCTATTCCAAAATCATTTTCCGACAAATACATAGGCATACTGACATTGACGTCTATAGCCGTCACCCAGAATTCATTTACAGGAAATTTTTTCTCATAATATTCACCATAAGTATAAACCAAAACTTTCCATTCTCCGTAATGAGGTTGCTCGGATAATTTCTGCTGAAGGTCAAGAACACCGCCAGCATTCGTTTGTAAGTTCTGCCACAGTTTAACCGTTGTATTCGTTGCATCCACTAAACTTACATCCATATTTGCAGTTTTAGACATAAGATTAGGCATTATTGGCATAATTCGCAGTTTAATCGTCTGCCCTTGTTTATACACTGGTTTATTTAGCTGAATGAGAACTGACACTTGTTTCCTCATGAACATTATTTTGGTTTCATTTCGAAAAAGGTAACCGGAAATGCCTTCGCTTGAAGTTCCTTCAACATTTACAGTATAATTACCAGCCGGTGAGTTATCTAACATCTGCATTTGAAGAATTCTCGTACTAGGATACGTAAATGTAGCTGAAACACTGCATTTTTCCTCCGATTTTTCCCCTAAATTTCCGAGTCGAATTGCTACCCGAATTTTCAAAAACGGGGTTCTCATTTTGAGAACTGTCACATAGACCTGAATCACCTCATCGGGATAGACTTTGTTTGGAAGAGCAATAAAGTATGACCTAAAAATTAATTAAAAACCTTAATTAACTGTATATTTAATTATTTTTTTCATTATAGAAATCTATTAACCTGACCGATTACTGATAAATACAGAGTATTTAGGATAAAAGTATGAAATTTCCTGTTAAATACTTACGAGTCTTGTTCCACTAAGAAATTGCTATTTACGTATGAAATGGATGAGAGGGTAATTATAGTAATAGTTGATATAATAAACAATATATTCATCTTTACTGATCACTTTTTACATATATCCGCCATTTCATACAGGTTGAATGCTGATAAGAAGTCTACACTAGCGACAGATAATAACTGATAAAATTTTTAGTCATAAATTGAAATACAGGTGTTTACTTTATTCACATAAATCCCATTTTTAGTTATAATCTCTTTAACAAAACAATAATCATTAATTAAATTGTGATAAATTAACTCCTTATTAATATTTCTAACTTCTCTATTCATTCTATCTTAATTATTTAACATAAGAAAATGATAGGTAAAGAAAAAGTTTCTCTTTATATTTTGGAGAATTTTTATACTTTTTTTTTTTAATTTCTTAGGCCTATGTAAAAATTTTCCCCTTTTCTGCCTATGTTTTAGGCTTAACCAATCTTTTTTTTTCTTTATATGTCTTCTCCCGCCTTTTTTTATTCTTTAGACAATCTTTCCAATTTCTTTTTATTAATAATTAGTTAATTCTCTTAGTATTTAGTTATATTTAGTAATTTTTATTAAAACTCTGTATATATTTACTTTAAAAGCTTTATTGGCTAGAATAAGTGTATATATATATATATAAACGTGCAATGTGTGTTGAGTTCTATATAAATGTAAGATAAAAAAAAAAGAACAATTGGGAGCGTAACATTCCGACAAAAAACAACAATGACGCCATGGTGTCTCTTCTCGCCTATTTTCGTGCTTATGTCGGTCATTTTTACATCAATAAGGACTGGTATTATTACTTTTTTCATCATTGAATATTATATAAACTCTTATAAAGTCGACACATGATTTTAATACTGAGTAATTTATAGAGAAGCAATTGGAAATTGGTGAATTAGCAAGAGCGTGGTCGTCGTTTGGTGTTCAAGGCGATTCGGTTGCGAAGTATACTGATAGTATTCACGTGACTCGCCGTAAGGATTATATTAAAGATGAGTTAAGGCTAAGTTTTACTTTGGAAAAGGATTATGAGATCACTAAGATTATCGTAGATATGTTGCAATGTTGCGACGCTAACACGACTTTGAAAACATTTCAAGTTTACATTGGCCAGCAGTATTGTAAAGTTAATAATACGTATTATCAAGATGAAGGAGAAATCTTTTGTTCCAACTTTAAACAAAAGTTTAATCCTTTCCATTTCAATGAAAAAACTGTGAAATGTCAAAATTCAGTTATTGGAAGGCACGTGACCATTGTAGTTAACGAATGCGAAACTTTCACGATAAAAGATATTAAAGTTTTTGGAAATGAATTAAAAGGTACATTAAATATTTTATTTATTAACAATATTTCTTAAGGCATTCGATATTACTCGTAGATATAAATAATTCAAATGACCTTGAATTGTCCTATAATCATCTATCAACTGTTGGTTATAGTCTTGTAAGAATGAAAAAAACTTATGGAGAGGCTGTTCAATTTTGTTTCGAGAATGGTGGAGTTTTACTTGAAAGTCTATCTAATCTAGATTTCCTTAAAGCCAACATAGAAAGAGGTAAAGTAAAAATATTGATATTAATATTATAATTACATAACAATCTGTATATTTACTTTACATTCTAGAAATTGGAAATGAAAAATTTTGGAGAGTTGGAAAATTGATTAGCAATCATATTTATAATAAATTAGATTGTTCTACCTCTATATTAGCTGATACGTTACGAATAACTAATATTAATAATTCAGAAATATCACATTTCGTTATAGACAGTGAATTAAATTGGTTTAAAACTAATCCAGAAGACGTTCATTTTTTCATATGTCAAAAATCTTTACCGGTAGAAGCACCATCTTGCGAACAATACTTTCATTATTGCTTGTTGGATAAAAATAATAGAAAAAAAGGCTTTTGTTCATCTAATCAACTTGGTGATGAATGCGAATGGCGTAAGTTTAATAGACTTATCTATTCAATCAAATATATTATATTTTTTCAATTATCTGTAAATTAATAGTTTTTATATTTTTAATAACCAACACTTATTACAAATTACAGCTTGCAAAGGTAATTTCTATGGAGCTAAGTGCCAATATCAGTGCGCTCATTGTAAGCATAAAGTCTGTAGTTATGTCAATGGTAAATGTTTGTTTGAAGAATGTGAAGTGGGTTGGACAGGTAACCGATGTGATATTCCTATAACTAAGTTACCCAGCGCCACCACAAATTCACTTACAACTGAGTTGTTAACAACCGAAACAAATGAAATAGTTCATGAGCCAGAAAAGTTTAAACATGAGGCAATTGTGCCACTTAATTTGGAAAGAGTGACTGAACAGAGTACTATTGGAAATGAGATAAAACATGTTTGCCTTAAAGGTCGTTACTACGGCCCCAAATGCGATATACCGTGTGGACATTGCAGATATGATATATCTTGCAATTCGGTTACTGGCGAATGTCCCGATGGGCTATGTGACTTTAATTGGACAGGCGGAAAGTGTGATAAGCAAATAGAAGCAACCGCTTGTTTAAAAGGTTTGTAAACAGAAGTAATTTTTTATATCTTTCTCTTCTAACCCTTTCTAAACAACAGAATTAGGTCTCCAACTATTTATATATACTGGAATAGTAACGTTTTCTGTTACCTTGAATGTTATCCTCTTAGTGTTTCTAACCTTAATTTGGTAAGTGATTTAAATACTTGTGTATTTTTAAAAATAATGACTAATCTCTTATCTATTTCTACAGTAAAAGAAAGATAATAATAACTAAGAAGCAAAGACAATTTAGAACCTATAATCGTTACGAAGAACCTACATCAGTAATCTATTGAAATAATTACAATATAATTTATCTTATTTACAATTGTAATGTTGCTTCCTTTCTTTTTTGTTCTGGACTTATTTCCTTAATGTATTTAATAAAAATTATCAATTCTACTATTTTCATACACGAAAACAAGATATGTTATGCGAGAAATCACATTTTCCTTTTCCTTTGAGTCAATATTCATTATTAAAGTCGTTTACTGAGGGAAACTGATAAACACAACTCGTAACACTTTCATTTAAATAAGTTTCGATAGGTTGAGCAGTGACAAATCTCATTTAAATGAGAGGTCTTCTCGTTGTTTTCTCTCTATTGCTCTAAGTTACAATACAAAGTAATTAGGATAGAAATATATATGCATAGAAAACAACATTGTATGCCTTTAGCCTGTATCTATTTTGTTGTTGAATATTCATTGTGAATATAATGTTTCTATATCTAGTCTAGCATATATAGAGAGTATTAAGAATCAACCAATATATTCTTATATTCGACCTGTAATAAACCTTCCCTTATTTTTGTAAGAAATAATTAAAAACAGATGAATATGATATTTCATGATATTCTATATTTTCATTAAGTATCTCCAAAGTAAAAGTAATTCATCTTTTAAAATTTCAAAATGGATATACAGCAAAAACATAAAATGAGTTTTGAGCTTCATTCAGACAAAAAGTAAATAATCCAATACGATAATTTTAATATAAATATAGCAAAATAAAATATTGCGAGTGACAGGAAATATTAAGAAATCGTTTGACCTGAGAAAAATACTTCTATCAAAATCTTGCAAGAACCAGTTTATGAATTTAAACTAAGGCAATTATAATTAATAATATAATTGTTTTTGTAATTACTTTGGAAACAATTAGAATGTGTTTTTGTTAACTGTATAACTCAATTTCTTGGAGTAGGTCGAGTATTTTTTGAGAATTGATACAAGAAAGAACTTTTTCCATATCTTTATCAAGACTATTTGCTCCTATATTAAATTTAATATTAAGTTCTTGACGAAGAAATCGATAAACCTTTTTTGTACCTAAAATGAAATTAATAAATTATAACCAAAATTATATAATAAAGAAATTATATGCATGTTACCATATCCTAATTCATCGGATATTCGATCAACAAGTGTTCCATTTTTTATACTCTCCAAAACGGGCTTAGCCACTTCTTCAAACTCACTTAAAAAGTCTTTAAATCTTAGGCCATTCATGAAAGGAGATATCTCTTTCAGTCTCACTTCAGCTTCTGGAGGTGAAAAAACCAACACCCACCAAGGGCATACTCTGTAGAATGTCTTTTCGTTTAGTTTGTGCTCATTTAAAATTGTCTTAATGATGGCCTCAGCATAATTTTTAAGATATCTCAAGTCAATTGCCTGACAGGTTGCTACTAGGCTCTGTACAATCATTTGTTTTAGAACTTCTATTGATTCTTCAAGTTTTCGAGCCGACAAAAATCCCATTGAGTTAATGGCTTGATTATGGAGTTCGGCACTCAATACATGATTTGTAACTGGATTTGCTAAGCCGTCAAGTTCAGAGCAATACGCTGCCATTGCAGTATCGCAACCCTGATTGTAAGAATGTCAAAGACAAAATTGATTATTAATTTATTTTATATTCAATAAATAATTTAATAAAAAACCTTGAATCCCATATCTACATTATAATCCGAACCACATAAATTTGGGGTAAGATTGCCATTCATTGAACCATTCACGAGTTCTTGAAATTGACCGTGTAGCAATTTTCCACACAATTGAATTGCTTGTCGTGCGTGATCCAAACCCATAGATACAGATATTCCTTGAAAGTTTCCACCGTGAATTACAACACCTCTTTCGTCATCAATTAAAGGATTGTCGTTTGAACTATTTAGTTCTATTTCCAGTTTTTCTCTTGATCTTAATAGTGTATCTAGTACTGGTGCTACCCACTGCGGTGATGTTCTTAAAGCATAACGATCCTATTAGAAAAGATCTATATTAACCAGATTGTAAAAATCATTCTTTAATAAGATATACCTGCTTAAGTCCTTTGGAATCCTCCCTTCTCATTTCTAGATCAGTTATTGACATTTTAGAATTATTCAGAAGTGATGATAAATTAGCAGCACACTCCAATTGGCCAGGATGAGGCATTGATTCATGCAAAAGTGAGTGGAAAGATTCTAAATGACCTTCCAAAGATTCGGCTATTAATGCTGTGCATATTTGTACAAGTATGGCACAAACGTTGGCTTCGAACAACATGCAACTGCCTAATGAAGCGGCAAATGAAGATGAATTAACAACAGCCAAAGCTTCTTTCGCGTGGAACTCTACAGGTTTAACAGAAGCTAACTGGAATGCTTCGCTGGCCTCCATTTCAACACCTTTGTGTAGAACTCTTGATCCTTTCATATTCATCATTGCAGCAGCAATATATGAACTTGGCATTAAATCTCCGCTTGCGGAAACAGTTCCTCTGAGAGGAACTATAGGAACGATGTCTTTGCGTACCATTTCTAATAATAGTAACGGAACCTCTTCGCGGACAGCAGAACGTGCCTTAGAAAGACTATTAGCCCTTTGAACCATAACACCTAAAAGAAGAAGTAATTTAATAGAACTTTTAATTATTTGTGTAATTTCAAATATACCTCGAATCAATTCTGTAGGCGCTTTTCTACCAAAACCAGCTTTCAGATGACTAACCAAATATTCCTGAACTTTAGCAACGCTCTCGTATCGAACATTAGCACTACCACCATAACCGGTATTTGCACCGTAGACAACTTTTCCAGATTTTAATAAATCAGTGAAAAACTCATAATTCTTTTTCATTTTATCACAGCACTTCTCCGTAATTGAACATTCAAAACTAGGTTTGAAGGTCATTGCATAGAGTTTTGATATTGTTAAAGTTTCACCATCTATTTCTAATGATCCTGCTTTAATGTACTCTTTATATTCTCTTATATCATTTAACGTCTGTATCCAGTGTTTTACATTCGACTTTGCCGGAAATTCCATAATGATACGTAAAGCTTAAACAAATAGATTCATTGATTAATAATAAATTAAATAATAATTATCAAATTAGTTTTGATAAAGCAGTTGAATAATTTAATAATTTCAAATTACTTTATACATATTTGTTTAATAGTTAATTCTAAAAACAATTAGAAACATACATCGCTAAGTTCACTGAGACAAAAGATTAACAACTATGATACGTTTGATCCAAGAGTTATACGTATAATGCTTATATTTATATCTTTTATATAGTCGATTATATAAAATTTCATCATAGGACGTGAGAAGAATAATTATAACCTTGAAATATTTTGTTCTCTAAAGTTTGTTCTCTTAGAATTGCTTAGGGATATAATTACATAATTATACTTAAAATCAATGTGTTTGACCTTTTTGAAATATTGTTCTTGCTACAATTTTTCATATTATTACCTAATATCGGCAAATAGAATCTTCTGACACCACGCTAATCCGGGACGTTGCAATAGCCTAGAGATTTATGAAGAAACGTTTTCGATATATAGTGGCGTCATCTACAACAATTGCAGACTATTTTCTTATCGAACTTGTAACGATTTGTAGTAAAAACACACATCTTATCTTCCTTTATATACTTTTTTCACATTTTAAACTTTAGAGTTACGATATTTGATTAAATAACAATAAAAATAAATTAGAAAAAGAATACTTTAATAGCTGAACTCTGGTACTTTATACTTCTTATTACTAAATACAAAATATACTATTAAACTTATTAACTACTGCTGTTTTCTATCAATAAAAGTAATAAAATATATATACACAATAGAAAATAGCGTTTTAGGTGCTTTGATTTACGAAATTATACTACGTAATGTAGATTCAAAGTTCAGTCGTTCAATGACCTCAAAATCTAAACAAAAAACACATGAACAAAGCATATAGCGTTACGAATATGAAATAGATTTAATTTCATATTATTCCTATTCTCTAATATGAAATGCCCTTATAAGGGTAAAAATGTAGCATATGTTAACAATTTCAAAGTAATGAGACCTATATTAATTTTTAAAAGTCCTATATAATCGATGACTAATAAGAATAAGAGAATATTTTAGCAGAAAATCTCTCTCTTTTGTATCCGCCATTTGTGGACTTCAAACATTCTAAACAATTTTCGACGAATTAGCGCCTCCTATCGTTCGTTTTTAGTAGTGTTAAGAGCAAATGCGTTGTTTTTAATCGAAATCATCATTAAATAAAAGGAGTTAACAAATATATTATTGATTAAAATAGATATGTATGTTGGCGTCTACTTAATTTTCGTCATCAGTATTTTACAATGTAATGGCAAAGAATTATTTACAAATGATAAGCCGCTTCATCCTTTACTAAAGGATAATATCTACATTGGAGCACATCAGTTTATTAGAAATCTGGAAAATAGTTTGCAAGATATTGAAAATCATAAATCTTTAAAGAATGCACTATCATTTTTAAAAGCTGATGATTATCAAAAGCAGGCTGAAAACACTCTTAAAAGTATAAAAAATAAAAATCTAAATAACACATGTCTTCTTGATCTCAAAAATATCGGTTTAAGTGCTTCAAAACGACAAAAATGGGCTATTGAAGGTAAATTTATTATTTTAATTATTTATATGTTTTCTAATATCATTTTATTGCTTTGATTTTGTTTGTTTACATTTTTTTTCTAGTTTTCGATTCGTGGGCTAAACTTCCACCTGGAATTCTTCAAGGACACATTATAGTTAAAGGTAGCTTTCCACAATGTAAAGGCGTTAATGTTCCACGAACGAATCTGACAAACTTTGATGTTAACTATTTCACAATTGGGTTTGCCAAAAAATCGAAGGTAAAGAATAAGAGAATTCTAATATGCTTCTTAAAATAGCGTACAGTCTTAGTCACATTTCGATGACGCATAGAATATTGCGAAATGTTGTTTATTGATAGATACTAAAGTTAAATAATATTATCTAACTAGTTCATCAAGATACATTTCATTTAGTTATTAAATGTTAATCAGATGTTGTATGCCCCTATTCTAGGGTAAAAACATACCGGTAGATAAGTCTCCTAGTTTTTGAACTTTGTTTAACCTTTTGAACTCTTTCTTTTTTCTTGGCGAACAGAGTTCTTTACCTTTTCTAGCACCAGTTATTGGAATATGCCTACCTGATACATGCACAAACATCGAAGTATTCAATTACGTAAATTGTATGTATATACATACAAGTAATGAACAGTTAAACACCTTTCACTTATTTGTTTTTTCTTATAGTTCTCTTACCATTCAACTCATCATATCATGTTGGTAGTGTCACCAAAGCAGAAATCCCACCGTTAGATAATGGAGCCAAAGCAACTATGTATGTATTTTCTTATTAATTTAGAATAATAGATGAAAACCTCTATGATACTGACATTAACTTTAATATTTCATAGTTAATAATTTAAATATACAGTAGTAGTTCCTTTTTTATTAATTGTACTTAAAAACAATAATATCCTTTTATATTATTTTCAGAGCTATATTTGCAATCTTAGGTTTTCTGGTATTGATTGCAACAATTTATGATTTTTTTGGAGCATATTTTCAAAGTAAGAAAACCGAAGATACAGAACATCTCATTGCAGAAGATACCACCTCAATTAATGATTTTCCGGAAATCAATAATACAAATTCTAATTTCCGGGTGTATTTTTCACAAAACAAATTAGGAATTGTTCAGGATTCGATTTTATCTTTTTCGCTTATAAAAAATTTACGGTCTTTGTTGGTAAGTGACGCACAATCTGATGTCGCTTGTCTACACGGAATACGATTTATTAGTTTATCATGGGTAGTTTTGGGGCATACGTTTTTGTTTGTCTTAAGTGCGATTGGAAATCCTATTTTTCTTTTAACTCTTTTCAAAAGATGGTCATTCCAACCTATTGCAAATGCAACACCGTCAGTAGATACATTTTTTATGATGAGGTAAATTTGGTTTCTAAATCAAAAAAAAAATCACTATTATTCCTTATTTTTCTTCTACTTTTTAGTGGAACCTTGGTCGCTTACTTAACATTAAAAGAATTAAAGAAAGGTGGAGTTAATTGGTTTTATTATTATTTTCACAGATTTTGGAGGTAATTTGATGAATAATATGATAATTTTTTATATTACACTTTATAATGTAAATATAGACTGACGCCAATGTACATGCTTCTATTGGCTGCAATGACAACTCTCTCACGTTATTGGGCGACTGGTCCACTCTATCCCAATAACGTCGGCTTGGCTCCTAAATGCTATAGTATGTGGTGGCAAAATTTACTCTACTTGAATAACATAGCATTTGGAAAATGGGAATCATCAGCAATGCAGGTAATATAAAATAATAGGTTATAATAAATTGAAAAAAATCATCCAAGTAATTCTCTTTTTTTTCAATAGTGTTTCGGGTGGGCTTGGTATTTGGCCAACGACATGCAATTTTACATTTTAAGTCCAATTTTTATTTATCCTCTATACAGGTTCTTAATTTAGATATCTTATATTCGCTTTTACAATTATACTAAACAATTCCTCTTTATACAGAAAACCGAAATTAGGAATTGCCATAAATATTTTTGTTTTAACATCGAGTATTATTGTTTCAGCAGTGATTTCGGGTCACTTTAAGTTTCCAATGTCTATGATATCAATGGGGTTAGTAGTAAAAATATTTCCTTAATATATTTATGATATTTATATTATTATTGCAGTGGTTCAACAGAATATATGAGACAACTTTACATACCACCATGGACTAGAATTGGAGCTTATATAGTTGGAATATTAACGGGCTATATACTATATAAATACGATCTAAAAGTTAAAATAAATAGATTTGTAGCTCTTTTGGGATGGTGTACTGCAACTGCAGTAGCACTTGCCATATTTTACGGACCTATTGAAGAAAACAGAGGATTTAAACAACCTCTTATTGCCTCAATTTTGTATAATTCACTGAACAGACCCGCATGGGCTTTATGCGTATCCTGGGTGCTTGTTTGTTGTGTCTCTGGCTATGGAGGAATAGTCAACTCAATCTTGTCTTGGAAAGGCTGGACGGTACCAAGTAGATTGACATACGCCGCCTACCTAAGTCACCCAATAATAATGACGACATATGCAGTAGCCCTTAAAAGCAATTTAATTGTCGACGACTCAGCATTGGTATTTTCTAAAATACGACTACCTACTGTAAAATTTTACTCTGTATGTAATATTTTTGTTACAGGTGGCTTTCTTTCTTGCCTTCATGACGGCAACTCTCCTATTTTCCGTCATTATCAGCGCAACACTAGAATCTCCTTTTCGACAAGTTGAAAAAGTTTTCCTCAAACATATTAAAATGTATAAAGAACATAGAAAAATGTTCAATGAATAAAAGGATCACAATTCAGCTTGAAAACTTATATTAATTGTCGTAATTATATTTTGTTTTGTCGAATAAAAAATACAATTTTTCAAAATGTCTCTTTCAAAACCATGTCTTTAATATTCTAAGTACTCACTGAGATTAACAATCCAAATATGTCATTTGTCTTGGCCTATTAAAGTCAACTTCTGATTGGAAATTAGGTACTAATAAGTAAATGTCTCTAGTATCGAAATCCACTGGTCTTGTTCTAGGATCCTGTAAATTAACTTCCACACTTTCAGAAGTTACTTTTGTATTTTCAGAATCTTCATTAGCTTGAATTTCCGATAGGCTAGTTATAACATATAACTTTAAATCGTTTGTTAGTCTTTCACTAAATTTTACTGAAGGAATCGCATTGCAAACTTTCCTTAAAGATCTTGGTAGAAGTGCACCTGTAGATTTGTCTCCATGTTTCCTAATTAAATCTGTCATGGTATCCTGAACTTGTTGAAAATCATTTCGTTCTTTCATATTTAATTCTCTGCTAACTTTTTCTTTTTCCCGCGAAATTGGGCTTTGATTCTTCTTTATTTCACCTTTTTCTATATGAAAAAGTGAAAAATAAAACAAAAACGAAAAGCAACTTTCACAAACCGAGAAGATTTATTATTTCCTTACTATAATTTCTCTGAGACATTCTTAAACTATAAAATATCCTATTGATTTACAAGTATTATATAATAAGAGTATGCTGCACCTTTATAGAGAAGAAAGTTTCCTGGAAATTAATAAGAAAAAGTAAAATATATTACGAAAGGTTACCTTAACAAAAACCGGATATAAGTACAAAACTAATGCATAGGTGGCGACACAATGATATATGGAAATGTTCTAAAATTCTATTGTCCTTAGCTTTAAAAAAAATTGAACTAGTTTTAGACCTAATACCTTATAAAAATAAATATTATAATAAAAGGTTAAATTTCCCCTCTGAACGAGAATAACTAGAAAGTTTTTCCATTAATAATAAATTAACAATTGTTAATATCAAATTGATACTTTTTTCTATAGTTAGCATAATAAATCATAACTTTTTGAACAAAGTGAAAAATATAGGGTATTACTACTATAACAATAATAGTAGAAGAATACTAGATCGGGAATATAAATATACTGAATATATATATATATATATATATATATATATATTCATCAAATTCGTATTTTCCGTGAATTATCGTTACGTTTCTTTTTAAGAAAAAAAAAGTTTATTATATAAAAGATTTTCTCTTTACTGCGTTTTGCTTATATTTCTTCTTTCGTATTCAATATACTGTATTGCGTAATTGATAGAGAGCCACAAAGATATTTTTCTTTAAAATTTCTAGCTTTTTGTAAGAGATTGTAGTAAATCTATTCTAGCAATAGAGTTTTTAAGAGTTTAAATTTAAATACAGATATAGTTATATTGTTGTTTAGTTATATTATTCTTATTAATTATCTTATAATTAACCGATTAAATCAACTATAATAATGGTATTGCATGCTTGATTTAATTTGAAAATTGTTTATTGTTTTATTTTGTCTTACTATCATTGACGTCATCCAGGAATAAAAGTGTTACGATAAAGAATAATAATGAGTAAATGCGTTTATAATTGGTTGGGAAGAAGTGGATTAAAAGTCTCCAACATATGCCTCGGAACGTTAACTTTTGGACGGCATCCTGTAAGCATTTCTAAATATATCAATATTAACTTCAAACAAAGATTTTCATATTAATGATTCCAATTTCGCGCAGTTTCTTTTATTGGTATCTTAATCTTATCGCAGGGTAATAGGCCTTATAGCGGTTTGGACGAATCTTTTGAAATATTGGACAAATACACTGCATGGGGCGGTAACTTTATCGATACTGCCGATTCCTATCAACACGGTGATTCAGAAAAAATAATTGGAAAGTGGTTGGAAAACAAAGATAGAAATAAGTATGTTATTGCTAGCAAGTTTCGTCGCATTTGGGATCCGAATAATCCAAATTGCATGGGTGCTAGTAGAAGACACATTATGTGGAGCATTGATCAAACCTTAGAAAGATTAGGCACATCTTATTTGGACATATATTACGTTTGTAGTAATAACGTTTTGACTGAATAAATATTAGTTATGTCCTTTTAAAATAGCTTCATATTTGGGATGCTGGTGTTCCACTAGAAGAAAGCTTACAAGCTATGAACGATTTAGTATCAAATGGAAAAGTTCGATATATCGGCTTAAGTAATCTTAAGGGTTGGCAGCTGCAGAAAGCGGCCGAGCTAACTAGACAGCGAAACTGGCATCCTATCGCTGCTTTACAGCAGCAATATAATTTATTATGTCGTTCAACCGAATGGGAAGTAGCCGAAGTTTGTCGAAACGAAGGAATTGCACTGCTACCATGGAGTCCTTTGAAAGGGTAATTATAATAATATATACTACTTTATGCTGGTAATTCAATTAAATCATATAATTAGACATTAATATTTAATCAAATTCAATCTTTTGAATTCTAATTTATAAGGTATTTGATAATAGAATTAGGTAAATATATTCTACTATTTAATTATTTGTTACACACGTTTAAACAATTTTCCCGCCAGAAATTCGTTAATAGATAATCATTATTTATCATATTTTTAGATATAAGTTTTGTCTTCTATCAATGTAACAAAGACAAAAAGTGAGAACATAGTTTTTTTGTTGATGTAAAGTATTGAAATTTTACTCATAAAGAAGTCTTTCTAATAACGTTGTCCGATCTAGGAAAGTATATATTATTACAGTGTTAGAAATCTACTGTGATATTTAGTTACTCAGATCATATTCTTCATCTAATTTCTATGTTATAAGAAAAAATAAAAGATTTATTATTTATATATAGAATAACTCGATGGATTAACACAAAAAATCCAACAATTGATAAAAGTTCTTAAAAAATCGAAATACGTCAAAGAGAAAGAAAGAGGAAAGAAAAAGGCAAAACAAAATTCTTTGTAAAACAGTACAAAATAAATAGAACTAAACTAGAAAGTGAAGGAGAGAATGACTACTTTATTACGCCTATACTGTAGAAAAACTCTACTCCTTTCTTTGTCCAAATATTTTAGTTTGGTCGTCAAAGTAAATTTTACTCTCTTTTTTAGCTTATTTTACTTTTGAGAAAAAAGACAGTTTTCCATCGTGATGAATGTACCTCTCTAACTATTTATTGAATAGGCAGTAAATTGCGTTGTTAGGTTTTTTCCGTCGATAGAGAAAATAACCCTTTAGGAATATTACAGAGGATGGTTGAGCGGTAATATTGACAAGGACACCCTGAAGCCTAAGAAAGGCTCTAGAATCGATTGGGCGAGTTCTGGTGAAGGTAGGGCGTCTAATAGCCATCCAGACGCAAGTTGGTTTAAAGAGGATACCCAAAGGGCTTTAAAAGTAATAGAGAAGTGCGAAGAAATATCGAAAGCTAAGGGAAAATCTGTGCCCCAAGTAGCAATACGTTGGCTTTTAGAAAAAGAAAACGTTCCATCAGTAGTTATTGGCGCAAGAACTGTAAAACATTTAGAAGATAATTATAATTCAGGCAGCGGTTGGAGTTTAAGTATTGATGAGGTTTGTATATAGAAAAAAAATAGCCACTTCAAAGCTAACCATTTATTAATTACAATTCTGAAAGATAAAAGAGCTGGATGACGTTTCCTCTATTCGCGCTCCATATCCCTATGACTATGTGGAACTAGAAAATCGCGACAGGATTCGCTGACCCCAAACTACACGAAGATTAAATTATACTACTACACTCGAACTAATAACTTGACAGCTTCAATGTTTTCAACACATTTTTTGCGAAATTATGTAGCCTTTCCCGATATAAAGAAAAGAAAAATATTATCTATTTTCCCCCTCTTCAATTGGTAAAAGGCTTACGGCGTTAAGTGGCTGATATAGAAGATCCTTATGTGGGATATTTCCCCACCATTTAGGATAGTTTAAAGTTTTGTGTATCTCGGAATAAATAGGATATTCCTTATCACTTATCTCTTTTTCGAGTTTATTTTCCTTCCCATTCTTTTGTCTAGTGCCATTCATATATATAAACGTTAGACAAATATGAAAAAAGAATATTTTATATGTACTAATATACAGTATATATATATATATTTATACGCAAAAAGAATTTACTTTTTGGCCTTCATTTAATCCGGATTTTCTTAGTATAAAAAATTATTATAGGCCTAAAGTAAACAATCCAAATATAAACCACATATATATACACTAAAGAATTATTATTATAGTATGCTTTAAATGAAAAATAAGCCCGTAAAAATTCAATTGATTTGAATGAAAGAGGGCGTTTCGTTCACTATAATAAATATCTCATTTTATATTTTTCTCATATTGACAGCTCTAAAACATACATTTGAATTTCGGTTAATCAGTCTTATTTTAAATCTAATTCTTTTTTTTTTAAAAGAAAATGTAAGAAAGAAAGAGAGAGAGATCTATCTTCGTTTATTTTGTAAGATTAAGTCTGGAATCTTAGACAAAAACATTTTTCAGTTATATATATATATATATAACTATATAAATTTATATATATTTATATATAATATATAAATATAAGTATTAAAATGCTACATATTTCAATTTATATAAATTTATATATATATAAATATATATGCATATATATAGCATATGAAATATAATGCAATAGATTAAATATCTATAGATGAATTCATAATGTAAAAAGGGGCTTATAGACTGGGAAAAATAGATAAGAAAGAACAAAACAGCACAAACAAGGAATAAAACAATGAGATGGCAACTTAAGTATTCTTCTTTTATTTAGTTAGTTAATATCATTAACTCTTAGCCATCATCATTGTGTGAAATTCTTCGAAATTTACTTTACCATCATTATCCAAATCTGCCTCTCTTATCATATCGGCAACTTCCGTATCTGTTAGATTTTCTCCTAAATTAGCCATTACCTGCCTTAATTCTGCGGCTGTTATATAGCCATCCCCGTCCTTATCGAAAACTTTAAATGCTTCTTTCATCTCCTCTTCCACATCAGTCTCTTTCATTTTCCTCGCCATCATTATTAGAAATTCATCAAAATCGATAGTACCATTGCCTATTCAAGAAAAGAGAAACCGAGAGATTCTATCTGTACAATAATCAAATTGTAGAATAGCTAAATGTTAATCTAACCGTCCTGATCAACTTCGTTGATCATATCTTGAAGTTCAGCCTCCGTCGGGTTTTGTCCTAACGATCTCATTACGATACCAAGTTCTTTGGTAGTAATTGTCCCATCTCCGTCTTTATCGAATAGGTCAAAAGCTTCCCGAAATTCTAGTGTTGTAAAGAAAATGTGAAACCAAATAAAGCTGGCGTAAAAATATTTTATACTCTACAAAACAACAAATGAATAATGCATTGAAAATTGTTCATCTTTAATTCCCTGCCTATCTATACATATATATATCCGCGTTTTTCCTTTATGTTTTTTAGTTTCTACTAATCTTGGCCCCAAGTTTCATAGAATGAACAAAATTCTGCAATATTACGTCAATTTCCATACACTAATTACATTTTCCGCTCTTAGTTACTTCCCTTTACGAATAATCCTCAAATAAGGACAAGGAAAACATCAAAAGAGCTAGTACGAACATTCAGTTGGCTCCAATTATATATTTGTTCTAATTCTGATATCTATGTTGTATAATTATTTACAAATAGTATAAAACTGGATAAAGGAAGTGGAAGAAGAAAGGGATGTTAACTAACATAAAGATAACTACTCGACCGTATTCAATGTGATATATATATATAAATTTATAGACCTCACGCTCGTATATTTTATATAGATATTCATATTTAAAGAGAGAAAGAGAGAGAGAGAGAGAGAGGGGGGAGAGAGAGAAAAATCAAAAAAGGAGAAATGTTTATGGATATTCACTTAAAACTCCCTCAATTAACCCTTATTAAATAATACTAAACCCTATAAAAGTATAAAGTGACTAATTTTCAAATGATACAAAAGTATAGTGACTTGTTATGAATAAGTTAGGCAGAAGACACTTACCAGTAATTTGCTCTTCTGTTAAATTTAAATCCGTCTGTGTGGAAGAAAAAAAGAATAGAAAAAATAATGAAAAGTTCTAATTTTCATTCAACTTTAATTTTTTTAAAAAAGAATAAACAAAAGAGATCCGAACTCATACCATGTTGAAATCAGACTGACATGATCAAATTCTGAATTACTGTATTGACATTACCAAACCTCTAGTGGGTTGTTTACAGGCCTAAGCTATTCTTTACGCCTATTGATCGAAAACTTTCAACTATATCAACGTTGTCTTACGGACATCCATCTTTCGGCACCGCCTTCTTCAGTGTAAAATGTACGAACGACTTGACGGAGGTATGATCATTAATTGCCTTAGTTTGATTGGCTTTTTTTCAAAGCGCCATCTAGTAAATAAAATTTCTAATTTACCATAAAAGTAAATAATTATAATAAATTATTTTTTTTTAATAAAAAAAAGGGAAAAGAATAAAAAAAATTCACTTTTTTCCCTTTTCTTTCCTTTCTTCCATTTTAGCATTTCCTTTCCTTTCTTTCCTTTTCTACTTAAAAAGAGTTTTCTAATCAATTGCGTAATTTTGCATTAATACTAGAAAATAAATATATATATTATATATACACAGCTATATACATATGTAATTACTTTTATGAAGCTATACTCTTATCTTATCTTGGAATAGGGGGGAGAATATACGGATTACTTACTATATAAATACAAATGGGAAGAGATGAAAGAATAGAAAAGACGGTTAAGGGACAATAAGAAAAAATAATAAAAAGAAGAAACTGGTAGAGGACTTGAAGAGGAAGAAGGAAGGAGAGGGTAAAAAAATTACTAAATAGAATAGTAAAGGAATAGGAAAAGGAAGAGAATGATATGCAATGATGCTGTGTTGAAAAAAAAAAACAGAAAAAAAACAATGACTATCCTCAACGTAAAAACTGATGAAAGTTATTCACAGAATAAATTAATTCATTAAAAAAAAAGTGTTTATTCACCTTCGTTCAATATTTTTTGTTATTTTGTAAATACAATATATAATTAATAATATTTTCGGGGTTTTTTCTTTTTTTACCTTATTCATCATATTTTTTAATTTAATAGTTTTGTTCTATTTCCGATGTAGATATGTATTTTTGTTTCTATTCACTTTTCCCTCTCTTTCTCTCTCTCTCTCTCTCTCTCTCTTTCTCAATCGCTCTCAATCTGTCTAGTTTGTTGATCTATTTCTTTCTTTCTCACACATAAACATGCAGAGTTTTTATCTCTTTTCTGTTCAGCTTTTTCCCTATTCTTCTTCAATAACTCGCACTTTCCCTCTTTCTCTTTTTTTTCTCTCTCCCTCCCTCTCTCTCTCTCTCTCTCTCTCTGTCTCTCGCCTCTGTTCCCCTGTCTCGTTTTCTTTTTTTAACTTTTTTAATTGATTCTGTTTCCATAGTGACATCTTGTATTAAAACATTTAGCGAAATTTTATCATGAAATAATCGTTAAATATTACTTGTACATGTGAGAAAATTTAATAAAATAAGACTAGATTATATCTTATAGATAAAAGAAGAATTTGTTGAAGACAGGAGGGAGGAAGGGAAAGAGTCTATTATAAAACGAAAAGGTCGTAATTAACTTTTCAAGGTTATGTTAATAAAATCTCTGGATATATTTCTTCGAAAGGGGAATGTAAAAATTATTATTTTTTTTTTAACTAATTAACTAAAAGTACTTTAAATATTTTCTTCATGAATATTTTCTAAACAAATTCGTCATATATTTTAGTCCTTGTTTTCAATGCCATCTATTGCCGAAATTAGCAAACTCATCAGTTCGTTGTACAAGTATCTCTTGAGAATTGAAAATTGATTTTCCCTGTCAGTAATACAGCAAAATTTAATAATAAAAAAAGACTGAAATAATAAAAAAAATAAATTTTCATTCCTTTTTTCTTATGAAGAAAAATCAATTTGATAAAGAAATTTAAGATAATAAAAACGTAATTATTCATATGCAAATTGCTTCGTAAATGTTGCCAAAATGATATAAATATAATAGTAAATTCAAATACAATATCTTTACATTTCGTATAATATAGTAATGATGTTTATAGGCCGAAATTATAAATAATCACTGTAATACAGCTATAAATTGTAGAGAGGAAAAAAAATATCGGATATGTAAGAAAGTCAGATGCCCTAAACGATATTTGTTCCTCCTTACGAGAATGAAATAATTACGTCGTTTACGTATTGATTTTTCTCTCTATGATTAGTAGGGAAGAACATTTTATGTAAGAACCGATGGCCAGTAATTAGTGATAAACGCCTCTTTTCTGCTACTTTAATAGTACCTATTACAAGTGACTAGTACTGTTGTATTACATATCTATTCTCCGCTAAGATACAGTTCTACATTAATCTAGTGTACTTTGTTCTAGTCAACTTCTTCTCCCCTCTCTCTTATGCTCCAAAATGTATTGATTATCCTTATTGTTCAATGACAATGAACAAGAGAAATGATTACAATCAGCGCGAAATTACCTCCAAAAATGGTAACGATCTATAATTTATTGTAAGTGCCAACTGCCAGTTTTAACGACCATTTTACTTGTTCCCTCATTTATTTTCAAGTTTTTCAAGAGAATCATGATTAAAATATAGTTAAATGACAACAACAACAACTAAGGTGCCAAGTTCGTATCGTCACTCATGATTGTATACGATAAAGCAATAATATATCATTTAAACGCTCTTTGTTCTCCTTAAATCTTCTTTCTTTCTTCTTTACTATACTAAATCTTTAATTGTTTATTTGAATTCGATTTAAATACAATTGATAAGAGAATAAATTGTAAAAAAAACGTTAACTATATCCTTCCTATACGAAAAACAAAAGAAAAGTTACGTAATATGTTTACTGGTTAAAAACTAGAAAGAGAGAGAGAGAGAGAGGAAAGAACTTTAAAAATGGTTCTCTTTATTTGTTTTTAAGATATTCGAAAGCAAAAAAAAATTTCTAAGGTGGAAGGATTGAAAAGGATGAGGTTGTTCATCTATAAGCTTTTGTTAAAATGTATACTTTATCTGTCATATCTATTTGTAAGATATGGCTATAAAGAAGAAATTTCCATGTTCCAGGCACCATTTAATCATTGATTCTCTTAAGCCATATGTGGCCGCTATTACACAAATTATGGACCATAGGTCTTTCCAATTAATCCTATTTGTAATCTTTCATAAGTCTAAGCTTTCCGATTTTAATAAAAGCTTTTTTCTCTTTAGTATAAAAAGTAAGTCTTCTATTAATTAAAAATTTCATGATATGTATACATACGCAGTATATATACATAAAGAGAGAGGGACAGAGAGAGAGAGAGTGAGAGAAAGAGAGAAAGAGAGTCAAGATTCTTATTTTGTTCAAGTGACAAAAAAAGATATACTGAATAGTTGTAAAAGTCACATATTTGTTTAATATACCTCCTTCTTTCACAATTCTTTTATATATTTATCCTTAGACAAGCTTTTTATTACTTCGCATTAAAATACCATGTATCAGACTACAATACTAAGATACATAAATTTTTTTCTTTTTTAGTTCTAAACCCACCAAGAACGGAAGTATTTAGTTTCTTTCGAACAATTGGGAATATTTTTTTAAGCTGAATTGATAAATTAGTTCTTAATTGACATTTTCAATCTTTGTGTAATTGGTTCCTGGTAAACTTTTAAAATGATCTAAGGATGTTCTGCCAAAAAACTAAACTACAGTGCCACCTATTATCAGTTTTATGTTATCTTACAAAATTACGTATTTTTTATTTATGTGAAACAAAACGTATTTTAATAGTTTTAAATACATAATAATGTAATATAGCCTATTTTTATATGAATAAAATATTTTGAAGATATACGAAAATATTTATATTGCGCATGCGCCTTAGTTTAACTTCCTGAACTAATTTTCTATTAATTTTTTAACTAAATAAAGAAATAAGGATCTGAAAAAATTTTTTTATCTGATAAGTAAAGAACTAAGTTTATTCTGGTGAAGTTTTAGTTCGTGATTAATTTAGAATAATTCGGTAAATATAATATCTGGAGCGTAACATGAAGTTGTAGTCACGCCTATGTTTACACTTTCAGATTATCATTCAGAATATCGCTTTTGATTCATAATGACAATGGGAGAAGACAGTTGGTTGATAAGTATGGCTTTTCCTACTCTTCTAAAACCAGTTTTAAAAAAGGTTTTGATTATTTATAAATTTTTCTATCTTAAATTATAATTCACGTATGTGTTAAAAAAATACAGCTCGAGAAGACTGATGCAGAGTCAAGTAATGAATTAAAAACAGCATTTGAGCAGGTACGATATTTATTATAAGAAAAATACATAATTTATTATCCTCACTAATGTTTCTCTATAATATTCGCCATTTTCTAAAAGAGAAACGCCTTATTTCACTTTAAGACCTATTATTCATTTTAATAGTATCGTAGTATTGGTTTCTATATACTACAAGGGAAATTTTACTAAATACAAATATTATTCATAATCCTATACCTAAAGTATAAACGATAGTATTGTTAATACTATTAAAGACGGAGAAGGTAAGATGTTTAATTAAAAAGATAGATACCATTATAGAATGCTGTGTTTGACATTCTGGACAACTTATCTTATAAATGAATCAGTTTCTTTAAAAGAATTAATCACAATCTAAATTTAGAAGTTAATATAGTTTTCATGACGTCCTGCTATAAAATCCGTGTTGTAGTATTAACTTTAGGAATACTTAGAGTGAGGGTAGATATTATTATCACATATATTTTAGAGCAACAGCAACAAGTATTGAATAACTCCTATCCCTTAAGTCACTTGTAGATTTCTACTTTAGAGGCTTCTTTTCTAAGCAATATATATATACAAAGAAAAGAAAAGCCTGTGATACTATCGCATTTAAGCAAGCTTGAGACAGACCATTACTAATGTTTAATAATAGAAGTAGGTAGTAAAAGGAGCGTCTATAATCGTTTGATAAAATGTATGGAATTTAAGCCCGCGTTGTTTACCGTTCAGTCGATCGACAGTTTAGATAAGCAAAAGTTAAATACCTTGCATACAAACGTATAGTTTTCGCTTATCAATTCTTTCTCTATAAAAACGCATAGGGGCGAGAAATAGTGATGAAGCGTAAAGACTTTGATGGTGAAACGAGTGTAGGGGGTAGCGAAATTGGCTAATCCACCCATGTTACGCTTATTTAATGCGAACTAAGAATAGCTGCATTCTGGCTATTTATTTAACTACCTAATAGGAATGTTCGTTTCATGAATACAGATGGAAGAGGAAATTCCGG